ATTGGATGACCCTGCAACCAACGGAGACACCTGGCCAGGGTTTATTTCTTACTCTATCTTCACCTGGTGTCCTGTAATTTTCAATGGTTTCCTTGTGTATTCTTTTGGGTTTCCTATAGAAGGTGATGTCATTTGTGAATAGAGAGATATTTACTTCTTCCTTACCATATATTTATTTACTTACTAATTTCTTTTCTTGCCTAATTGCCCTGACTAGAACTTTCAGCACAGCATTGAATGGAAGTGGAAAGAGCAGACCTTGTTTTGTACCTCATCTTAGGAGGAAAGCTTCTAATCTTTTGCCATTAAGTCTGATGCTGCTGTGGTTTTTCATTGATGCCCTTTATTAGTTTGAAGAAGTTCTTTCTGTTCCTAGTTTGGGCAGGACATAGCCAGATGGCATGAGTTTTTATCACACTCCTCGATGTACAGCTTAAAACTTATGCAGTTTGTTTCTGGGATTTTCCATTTAGTATTTTCAGACCACGGCTTACCGTAGGTACAAACCACAAAGCAAAACTGTGGATAAGGGGGAGACTGCTGTACTGCTCTGTTTCCCTCTAATTCAAGATAACCCCATGGCTCCTCCCTGAGTTTGCTGACCCTCAGGTGCTCTGGGTGCCTCAGGGCATTGCTTTGGATCAAAGGCTGGATACTTTTAGCCAGTTTCTCTTGGAACTAGTGGTGTGCTTTTAAAAAGGTTATTAAGTAAAGTTTTTTGTCCTCTCCCACTCCTTAGTGAAGTTCTAATTTAAGATTTACTAGAGGATAGAGCCTGTGATTATGAAATGTGGCAGAAAAGAGTCCTGCCCCCCACCTAAGGATAGATCTCCCTTTAAAAATGTTGTTTCACTGGTAGGGACCAAACAGTATTTTATTATTTTTTATAAGAAAACTTTTGTTTTTTTGTCCTCTGTATTAGAATGACTGTTAGTGATAACACTTTGGATTTTGTTAGAATTTGGCAAGAATCCAGTGTGGGTTTTTCCCCAATACTTAATATACAAATACGTTATTTTACTTGGGCAGCTGTTTGTAGAACTGAATTTGGTCCTTTTCAGCCTTTCTAACCTTCTAGAAATTATTTGTCTGCTAGGTTCAATATGTTTTGGCTGTTTATTTTCTAGTACCTGACACTCTAATCCTCAAAGAGTTTGAATTTTCATTTTAAATACTAGACATAATATGTGCTCTTTATATTTTGGTCTCATCTGGAGGTTGATTTTACATATTATGCTAATCTCCTAAAATAACTTGTTAAATTATTTTGTTTTCATGTTATTAATCATGTAATACTTATTAGCATTAAAAACTCATTCATATTCATTATGAAGAACTTCAGAATTTCATATTTTTAAAACTGATTTTAGAAAACATGTCTTAGCTATGTTTTAATCAGTAGCACTGAGAATGTTGGGAAGCTGAGTGAAAAACAGTAATTCACTGTGTCATTCATTGAATTTCTGTGAGTGGCATATGGGATTCTAATTAAAAGTTTGGATAAGCACCTGAGGGTAGGAGAGAACCTAAAATAGATGAAATCTGATTCTTTATAAGAAGGATACAGAAAGGAAACAACCTAAATTAAAAGTAAAATCTCTATTAAAGTACAGCCTTAAATGTTAGGGGATTTGAAGGGACTGATTACATAACTAAATTGGATGACATTTGGTCTGTGAGGGTGTGCATGAGAAATTACTGTCAAGGCTGTAAATTCGAATACTACGGTAGTTTGCATTTTTACTGGGTACCAGCCATAAACCTCAAACGTATTATCATGGGAAAGATTTCATTGTTAATGATGTGAAACCCTTCAAACCTAATCTGCTTTGTCTGAAGATTGTTTCTCTCCCATTTCAGTTTGTAAACTTAAAAATTTGAAAGCTCTTTATTTCTTTTATTAGATTTTAAAATGATTTGCAATGATCTTTTTTTGTGAGATATGATTTTACTTTTTGTGTTTTAAAGTTTTATCAGTAATTCATAAGGATAGTTTAACAAATCAAATAGTACTGGAGCAGAAATGCGATAGCAGACCTGGAACTGCTGTCTTTAGAAAGGCCTGCTTGTTCTGTTGGCCCTTTGGCCCTTGGCTGGCATCTGGGAACTTGACTGCTAAAGTCCCTTATATATAAAACCTTTCCTAAATGTGTAAAAGTGGCTCACTGTGCCTACACCACTTACAAAAATGCTGAATATCTGCTGTCTTTCTGGGAGTCTGGAATTTTGGTACATGCTAGACGGAGCATGCCTACATGATCAGGCTCCACACAGGCCTTGGCCTCTGAGCCTAAGAGCTGCCCAGCAGACACTTAACACACGTTGTTACTGTTGCTGCAAGAATTCCTCTTTCTTTCCCTTTTCTGTTTCAGCTTTGTATCCTTTTATCGTAATAAATCTTAGCCATGGGTATGAGTATATAGTGAGATATGCGAGTCCTCCTAGCAATCACCTATCCTGGGGGTGGTTTTGAAGACTGCCAACATAGAACTAAAGACTTACAATGGAAATGCTGTGCCCTGCCTCATTCTTGTATCTCAGTCTTAGTTTTGTTCTTTCCTCTATTTCTTTTGGTATTTTCTTATTTCTAAATAATACACTTCAACTGCTAATTTTTAAGGTACGTGTTTCAGACATTGTCTATTAGGTAGGTGTTACAGTACTAGAGAAGTTAGGTCTCACATACACTTCCCCCAGTTTCTGCCTCAGTCCTCTGAGAGAGTCATTATTCATGGTTTTCATTATGATGATTAGAGATATACTGTCTAATGGTGAGCCAGGCAGTAGACTACAATTTCATTTTCTCATCTACATTTTTACTTTTCTTAGAGTTAATGGTTATTTTTATTTGCTATTTTAGTCTATTTTTATGACAAAATTATTCTAAGTGCACCAATGGCTTTTTACCACATCTTACTATTCTTTCCCACATGGTCAGATGTGTCTGTGTTTCCCATTGTCCTCTGGAGCTTTTCTTTCCTCAGTGTCAGTGTGAAATGTGTCACATGTTGGTGACAGGCCTGCTTCTTCTGGGGCTTCCTTTGCTGCTCTCCAGGCTTGCATTTCAGATTCTCGGGATTTTTGAGAAAATGGGAACTACATTCCCTGCCATGGTGTGTATGGAAATGCTTTTATTCTACCTATATACTTGAATGGTTATTGGAACTAATTTTCTTTAAAAAATTTGAAGATATTCCTTTATTATCTTTAAGTTTCCACTGGTTGTGTTGATAAGTTGGTCCCAGTCCTTTGTATGTAAGTTTTTACCCTGTCCCAGATCCAGCAGGAATCTTGGTATCATCTTTCTATACCCCGTGCTCTGAGACCTCGTGATATGCTTTGTTCTGGGTCTCGTAATTTGAAATGCAGCGTACCTAGTATTCCCTTATGATTTGGACCCTCTCTTAATTCTGAGAAAAAACTTTTTCACACCATTTCAAGAAGAAAAATGTATTGTATATACAATTATTGCTTACAAAATTTGGCATTCTCAAATAGTATGTTAATGTTTAGTGTTTAGTATGTAATATATTAATGAACTGTATTTGGATTCCCTGATAGAGTTTTAGATTAGAGACTTTTTAAATTTATAGATGCTTTTTAAAAAACATAAAATAAGGAAAAGCTGTTTCTAGTGAATTTTAGCCTGGTAGTTTATAAGATACTTTAAAAAGAGAAAGGGAGAGGGATAAAAAGTTAGAAACATCGATGAGAGAGAAACACCGATCAGCTACCTCCTGCACATCCCCTACTGGGGATGTGCTTGCAACCAAGACACATGCCCTTTACCAGAATTGAACCTGGGACTCTTCAATCTGAAGGCTCTATCCACTGAGCCAAACCGGTTTCGGTGACATTTATAAAATATTTAATTTGTTTAATTTATTAGCCAGTTAAGCTGTTTGTTTTCTGGAATAGGCATGCATATGTATGTATTTATATATAGACAGACTAGAGGCCCTGTGCATGGGGACAGGGCATGTCCCTCAGCCCAGCCTGCACCCTCTCCAATCTGGGACTCCTTGAGGGATATCTGACTACCCGTTTAGGTCTGGTGGGATCAGGCCTAAACGGGCAGTTGGACATCCCTCTCAGAATCCAGGGTTGCTGGCTCCCAATTGCTCGCCTGCCTAGCTGCCTGATTGCCCCTAACTGCTTCTGCTGCCAATCTGATCACCCCTACCATTCCCTGCCAGCCTGGTCAACCCTAACAGCCCTCCCCTGCCTGCCTAGGATATAGAACCTAAACGGGTAGTCAGATATCCCTCAAGGAGTCTCAAATGTGTTCTCCAGGCCTTTTTAGACTTGACTATTTTTCTTATAGTGTCTTTTGATGTGCAGAGGTTTTTACTTTTGATAATAGTTCAATTTGTCAAGTTTTAGTTTTGTACTTAATGCTTTTTGGTCCAGTCTGGAAAATTCTTATCCCAAGGTCTCAAAAATATGGTTTTAGAAGTCTTATGGTTTTTAGCTTTTAAGTTTTAGGTCTGTGATTTATCATTAATTACATCTTGTGTGTGATCTGGAGAGCTTTTTTCCACATGGTTATTTAGCACCAGTTGAAGTCTTTTCTTTTCCACATGAATTCCTTTGGAATCATTGTTGAAAATCAGTTGATACCCTGGTCAGGTAGTTCAGTTGGTTAGAACATTGTCCCAATAAGCCAAGGTTTCAGGTTTGATCCTTGGTCTGGGCATGTACACCAATCAACCAATAAATGTATAAATAAGTGGAACAACAAATCTATTTTTCTCAAATCAATCAATCAAAGAAATTGAAAAAATCAATTGACTATATACAGATGGGTCTCTTTCTGAAGGAGGGTAATGAAAAAAAAATACTTTTGGTTTATAAATGCAAGATTAATTGCACTGTTGTGTGTGTGTGTGGTGCTTTATGTTTTGATTGGCATTTGATGACTCTGATTATCTTTTTTTCCTCTGTGTAGGTGTAATGGATAGGTAACAGAGAAGCCTTCTGCACTGTATCAGGGAGGCAGAATGACTGAGTGCTTCCTGCCCCCCACCAGCAGCCCCAGTGAACATCGCAGGGTGGAGCATGGCAGTGGTCTTACCAGAACCCCCAGCTCTGAGGAAATCAGCCCTACTAAGTTTCCTGGATTGTACCGCACTGGTGAGCCCTCGCCTCCCCATGACAGCCTCCATGAGCCTCCTGATATTGTGTCTGATGATGAAAAAGACTATGGGAAGAAAAAAGGAAAATTTAAGAAAAAGGAAAAAAGGAGTAAGTGCCATTTTTCTCTTATGTTTTTGATACATTTTAGATAAATGTCTACTCCAGTCATATGTACCTGGTGTCTTCTGGAAATATTTTCAAAAACTTCCATTTGACATTTATTGTTCTTAATTTTCAAAGTCTCACTTTTTGTATACTAGAGTTAATATTTTAGGGTCTTTCACATACACAATGTTGTATCAGTTTATATTCACACCAGCAGTGTCTGAGAACTCAATTTGCTATGCATCAGAGCATGACCTTAAGATTTATGTCCTTCTGGTTGGTGTGGGGTTTGTGATATTTTAATTAGAAGGGTATTTATGAAAAACTTGAATCTTTTAAATAAAATAGCTAGAAGAGTACTAGCTTAAAAAAAGAATAGGAGAGTTATAGGTATGAAAAAAACAAAACCAAACAAGGATAACTGATATGACATAAAGCAACTGTTACAACTGTGTGTGTAAACTAGGGCTTCTGATGCTGGGAAGTGGGCTGATAGATTCAGCCACCATCTGGAAGTTAGGGAGTTTCCTGATTTGTCCTCCACCCAAATGAGACTTCAGTCTCTGATGCAGCCTTCAGAAGGAACTAAACAGTGACAGGGGAGTGAAGTGTGATAGAAGACTGACTGGAGCATCTAAACAGCAGTACAGTTCCTGTCATGGTTAGAAATGTACTCTAATTCAGAGACCAAATATAAGAAAAATCTAAGTTAAATAAAGTAAAATTCAGATAACAAAAGAATGTTCTATTTTATAGGATTCTTTTCCTTAGCCAACCGTGTAGAACTTTCTTGTGTACTTGTAATACTAAAATTCCACTTAAAACACATACAATAAATGCACTTTTCACCACCTACTATTGCAAGAATAACTAGCTCTCTCCGTGTTGTCCTCTTGTGGTCAGGAGTTGTCATTGCAACATCTCATTTTAGCTTAGAGGAACCCCAGTTTTTGCTAGGCCATGATGTGAAAAGGTAGGTAGCTAGTGCCAGGTGGAATTTTTTTATCCTGTATTTAAAAAGCACACGAACAGGTTGATATTAAACAAACATGTAAGTTACACTCCCTGCATTTCTTTGGCAGCGGAAGGCTATGCCGCCTTTCAGGAGGATAGCTCTGGAGATGAAGCCGAAAGTCCTTCCAAAATGAAGAGATCCAAGGGGATCCATGTTTTCAAGAAGCCCAGCTTTTCTAAAAAGAAAGAGAAGGATTTTAAAATAAAAGAGAAACCCAAAGAGGAAAAACATAAAGAAGAAAAGCACAAAGAAGAAAAACATAAGGAGAAGAAGTCAAAAGACTTGACAGCAGCTGATGTTGTTAAACAGTGGAAGGAAAAGAAGAAAAAGAAGAAGCCAATTCAGGAGCCAGAGGTGCCTCAGATGGATGTTCCAAACCTTAAACCCATTTTTGGAATTCCTTTGGCTGATGCAGCGGAGAGGACCATGATGTATGATGGCATTCGACTGCCGGCAGTTTTCCGTGAATGTGTAGATTATGTAGAGAAGTACGGCATGAAGTGTGAAGGCATCTACAGAGTTTCAGGTATTGGGGACACCTTGGTGATTTTTTAAAATTAGCTTCATTTTTTAAAAAAATCTTTTTAAAAATTAAATTTATTGGGGTGACATTGGTTAATAAAAGCATATAGGTTTCAAGCTTACGACGCTATGATATGTCATCTGTGTATTAAATCCATTTTTCAAAGGAAGGACAAATATTAGTTTGTGAGGAAAATTGTGACATGAGTCCTAAGACATTCATTTCCTTGATTTTTCCATTTGAAAAAAAATCCCTCTGTGTGTGTGTGTGGTGTATTTTGGCAGTTTGATTTTTTTTTTTTTTTTATGATACTCCTTTTCATTAGGAGGATTTACACACATGAGTTGATCATAGCTTGCAGCAGCCTGGAATGAGTTAGTAATATGCATTTAGAATATATAAAAGAAACTAGACTTAGTTTTCCTATTTAATTGGTTCATACACATTTCTAGAAGGTAGATTTGATATTTAGTTCTGTTGAGAAGGGGCATGTATTTTTTTAAATTGGGGAAACCCTTCTCATAGGTAACATATTTAAGAGTACTACTTTATAGAAAAAAATTAAAAATTGAATACAACTTTGTAACTCCTTAGCAACATAAAAAGTATTTAAATACATTTAAAATTTTGACTTTTTTTTTACAGTAATACATGCATATATGAACCCGTTTTTATATCTGTATCTATGTATCTATATAAAATGTTGACTTTTAAGAATAGCTTATGATGAATTGATTTTTAAAGAATTAAACAATATTAAAATAAGCTGCTTCTCTCACATGGTTTTGGTAGGCATGGAAAAAATTTGGTTTTGGTGAAAGTTGCAGAGTCTCTATAGCCTTGTTCAAAAAACTATTTTGTCTTTTGTCTTTGACCTATTTTTGATGCTTGTCTTCTTTTGGGGAGACAGAGCTGCAGACCCCTTCATTTGTATATCAAAGCATTCAAATTGAGCCATCCCATGGAATCCTGGAGGTTGAGCTCCTGCTCTGATCAATTTGTTATTTACCTTTTTAAGCTCTGGTCCTATGCTGCATTCAGCACAACGTATTACAGTTTAAGGCTGTGACTTCTTTTTGTTTTTTGTTTTAATACTAATAAGAATATTGTTTTCTGCTGGAGATTTTTGATTCTTGCTTATTCATATACAAGTTCCAGTTTTAAAATTTAAAATACATCAATACCATTTTGTATGTGCTACTTCTCTACCTGGAATACTTTATTTGAAGTGTCTAGTTTTTAAAAGGAAAACATTTAAGAAAATAGGGATTATTTTCTAACTTTTCTGCCTCAAAATAAAGATTATACAAAAATGAGATTTATAATACTTTCATCTTTGGAGTTACTGATTTTATTTTGTCAGTGCTAGGTAAGGTACAATTTATTATAATTACATTAAAATGTTTTCACATAAAATAAGGAATGCCAAAGCCCAGATGTCAGTGCTATAAGTTAAAATGCTGTTTAGATAACACTTGAGTATTCGAATTTGCCTTACAGTTGTTCAGCCTTAAGTTGTTCTTGTTTCTAATAATTAGCCTAAAGTTTTAAGTATTAAAAAAAAAACAAAAAAAAACAGAGAGCTACTTTATACTCTTATGAACAGTCACTGTTACTTGTTACTTAAATACAGATTGGATTTAAGACTTAAAAAGCTTAGATAATGTTTGAAAACATTCCTTTTGTGTGTCAGTGTTTCAGAATAGGAAGAAAAGCAAAACCCAAATTTTACCTTTTTTGTTCCAGTTCTATTCTAGATTAAGAAAATATGTAAAGAATTAAAACTTAAAAATAAAAATTAGGTGGGAATTACTTAACGGAGAAGAATTTTCAAAGAGTTTTTTTTTTTTTTTTAAATCAATCTTTATTGTTCATATTATTACAAAGGTTCCTCATTTCTTCCCCCCTCCACCAGGTTCCCACCCCACCTTCTGCCCCCTCCCCATCCCCCATTGTCCTCATCCATAGGTGCACAGTTTATGTTCAGTCTCAAAGAGTTTGTTTTGATAGTGAACTCACTGTTTGGATTTTTTATAAAAATTGAAATATGCATATATATACCGAGTTGTCATTTTATGTTGTCAGTCTTGTGACTAGTTAGAAAAAGCAGTTGGGTGACCTTGTAGAGCAAGACTTTATGCTTAGATTGTAGCTTAGTTTTTGTCTGAAATTTTACCTACCTATCTTTAACTTTCAAAATAATATTTTCCTGAGTTGCTTGGCATACTTGTTTAAAATGTTGCTGATTGCTATGACTCTGTTTCTGAATATTGAGTTTCTATTATCATTTAACTTTTAGTAAAATTCACCCTCCAATTATAGTTTTTCCCATTATCTTATTTACAGAGGAATTGTGTGAACCTTGTACAGATAAATACTTCACAATTAGAGATTTGTCATTGTCAGGTTGGCTTTTCTCATGTCCCCCCAAGGGTGGGCACAAGGGTAAATAAAACTGATTTTTCTTCTTCTCGATATTCTTTTTCTCTGAATTTGAATGTTTTAAGGAATTAAATCAAAGGTGGATGAGCTGAAAGCAGCCTATGACAGAGAGGAGTCTCCAAATCTGGAAGAGTATGAGCCTAACACGGTAGCCAGTTTGCTGAAGCAGTATTTGCGAGACCTTCCGGAAAACCTGCTTACCAAAGAACTTATGCCTCGCTTTGAAGAGGCTTGTGGGAGGAGCACAGAGAGTGAGAAAGTTCAGGAATTCCAACGCTTACTGAAAGAACTGCCAGAATGTAACTTTCTTCTGATTTCCTGGCTGATCGTGCACATGGACCATGTTATCGCGAAAGAACTGGAAACAAAAATGAATATACAGAACATTTCTATAGTGCTCAGCCCAACTGTTCAGGTACATGTGCCATGGGTTTTGGGGGAAACATTTTTACTGTTGAGTTGCATACAAGCAATTAACCAGCATAAGTAGATAATGGTTTAGCCTGAATATTATTATTTTTTTCTTTTCACAATATGGACAATGTCAACACAGAGTATGATGAATGTATTTTCCAATTTGCTTGTAGCTATATAATATATTATAGTCTTTGGTGTGGATTTATAAACCAGTTCCTGATGATAGTGGTCTGTCATTAGAAGAGGAAACCATGGTTCCTACAATTACAGAGTTCATTCATAGAATTCATTCATAGAATTTCAACTACTTCTGCAAATAGTGTCATTGCTTCAATATATCACACACACAATCACACTCATGCACAAAGGACGTAGCATTTGCTTGGTTAGGGATTTAAACAGAGGGTTCCATTCGTAAAGATAGGTCCTAGAGAAGCATTTTATAAAATCTTAATCTGAGAAGATTTTAGGGAATTGGGTAGTGTGTTAATTGGTATTTCTTTATAACAGAAATACTTGGCCTTCATTTATTGCTGCTCACTTGGTGCTGGCATAGAGGATGTGTTTTCCTTTAATTAGAGTTATTGATATTTTACTCAGGTCAAATACAAATGACAAAAAATGAGATGATGTTTATACTCTTTATTTTAAGCCTTTCGGGCCAATATACTGCATTATTATTATTAGTCATTGTCTAAGTACACTGTGTAAATGTATTTCCTTTTACTACAGATTCTTATATTGCTCATTGGTTAGACTTTGGGAGCAAAATATTTTTCAAATTTCAATGTTATCATTCTTAGGATTTCAGAATTTGGTAAATATTATTGTTATTTAGTAATAGTATAAGAATCATAAAAGATTCAAATGTGCTATAGGAGTTTTAGGTAGAAGGTAATTCTTATTAGTTTTCCAGCCAACCTCATGTCCTGATGTAGCCTAAAAAACATCATCTTTAAACACTGGCTATGCAAATGTGCCCAGATGACATTGTCTCTGGAGGTCTCAAACTCTCAGTCCAGCTTTACAACTCCAAGTGCTCTTACTTTCTTCATATTCTTCAGTAGATCCAGATGTGTGTGTTAAAAGGTCTCAAAATAATAAGATGATAAGATTTTTAAAAAATCAGTTTATAGTGCTAAGAAGAAATAAATTGGTTATCAACTTCTGTATCCTTTTCTTTTCAGTTCCTTATGGTGCTAAGTACAGACTCAAGTATATTTTTTCCATTCTCTTCTTTAAATTGTCCAATTAGCAAAGCATGTCTAGTCACTATCGAGAATTTTCATTCTCATGCCCAGGATTAAAGGATACACATGCAATAGATACAAATTAAACAAAACAATGTTATTAATTTTCTTGCAAATCCTTTCTTTACTTTTTTCCCCTTAGATTAGCAATCGTGTCCTGTACGTGTTTTTCACACATGTGCAAGAGCTCTTTGGAAATGTGATACTAAAGCAAGTGACAAAGCCTCTTCGCTGGTCTAACATGGCCACTATGCCCACACTGCCAGAGACTCAGGAGAGCATCAAGGAGGAGATCAGAAGACAGGTGTGTGAGCTCAGCCTGTGCTTTAGCCCTGAAAGAGCCTGCCTTTGCTCTGACCCTTTTGGAGACATGATGACGATGCTGAAGATAAACTGTTGTTCATAGGTACTTTTTAAAGTATACCTGGAGCTATGTTAGGCACATGTTGTGGAGATTAAGTCAGTATCATCGAGAGAATACAGGTTTTGAAATGAAAAACCTGGCTTTAATTTCTTGGTCTGCTTCTAATTAACTGACAGATTTTAGGCAAATTGTTTAACCTCTTTAAGCTTTAGTTATTTTAAAATGGGGCCTCTCATAATTTGATGTGAATGTTACAATAAATGAAATAATGCATTAAAGATGCTCAGCATGGTTCTGGGAATGTTTTAAGCAGTCTTATCTAGACAGGATTGCTATTATTGACCATATACTACATATAAGAATACTGACATTATAAGTAACGTACTCTGTGTCACATGGTTACTAAGCTATAGAACCAAGACTTGACCCCATATTCCGTGATTTCCCACTTGCTACTTTGATAGAAGAAAACAGTGCCATTTGGTTATGTGTGTGTGCGTGGCAAGCTGAGTAAGAAACTCAGGACTAAATAAGAAACTTACATTTTATTATTATTACATCTTTTATTTGCATACACATTATCACATCCCTGCTTCTTCCGTTCCATTGGCTCTGAGCTCCCTCATTTTTTAGTAGTTGATGATGTCTTGAATGAACTACTGTTGAACTAATGTAAATAATGAGAACCCAAATGCCTAGGCAAAACAAATAAGCATGATTTTTTAATCTTAATTGTTCATATTATTACAGTTGTTCCTCCCCCCCCCCCATAACCCCTCTCCACCGGGATCCCACCCACCCCCTCCACCCCATGGCCTTACACCTCCCCACTATCCTTATCCATAGGTGTATGATTTTTGTCCAGTCTCTTCCCACACCTCCCACACCACTTCCCCTCGAGGACTGTCAGTCCATTCATTCCCTTTCAATATCCCTGATTTTATTATTTTCACCAGATTATTCTGTTCATCAGATTTTTTACTCACTTGATTTTTAGATTCACTTGTTGATAGATATGTATTTGTTGTTTATAATTTTTATCTTTACCTTTTTCTTCTTCCACTTCTTAAAGAATACCTTTCAGCATATCATATAATATTGGTTTGGTGGTGATGAACTCCTTCAGCTTTTTCTTATCTGTGAAGAACTTTATTTGACCTTCAATTCTGAATGGATAGCTTTGCTGGGTAGAGTAATTTTGGTTGTAGGTTCTTGCTATTCATCACTTTGACTATTTCTTGCCACTCCCGTCTGGCCTGTGTATAGTTTCTGTTGAGAAATCAGCTGACAATCATATGGGTGCTCCCTTGCAGGTAACTGTTTTTCTCTTGCTACTTTTAATATCCTCTCTTTGACTTTTGCTCTTGGCATTTTAATTATGATATGTCTTGGTGTGGTCCTCTTTGGATTCCTTTTATTTGGGGTTCTGTGCACTTCCTGGACTTGTAAATCTATTTCTTTCACCAGGTGGGGGAAGTTTTCTTCAAATAGGTTTTCAGTATGTTGTGCTCTCTCTTCTTCTGGCACCCCCATAATTCTGATGTTAGTTCGCTTGAAGTTGTCCCAGAGGCTCCTTACACTATCTTCATATTTTTGGATTTTTTTTTCTTTTTGCTTTTCCAGTTGGGTGTTTTTTGCTTCTTTGTATTTCAAATCTTTGACTTGATTCTTATGATCTTTTAGTCTGCTGTTGGATCTCTATATTATTTTGTATTTCAGTCAGTGTATGTTTAATTTCTAATTGGTCCTTTTTCATATCCTCAAGGGTCTCACTAAACTTATTGGCCTTTTCTAGAAAATTCTTGAAAACCCTTATAGCTGTGGTTTTGAAGTCTATATCCAGTTGTTTGCTTTTCTCCCTTTCTTTCATTTGTGACCTGTTTCTTTGTCTCTGCATTTGGGCTGCTTCCCTGAGTTGATAGAGTGGCTTTGTGTGCTGGTGTCCTAGAGGGCCCAGTGGCTCAGCCTCCCCAGTCAGCTGAGGTGGATAGTCTTGTGCACCCCTTTGTGGGCTGTGTGCACAGTCTTGTTGTAGTTAAGCCTTGATTGCTGTTGGTATCACTGGGTGGAATTGACCTCCAGACAAATTGGTTGTAAGGATCAGCTGTGTCTACAATGGGAGAACTTATGTGTTGGAGACATCCTTATGGGGCAAGTTTTGCTTTAGTGGGGCTTTGTGCTGAGTCTGCCCAGAGTGTGTCCCTTTATGGATCTGAGGAGTTGTAATCTGGATGGTCCTACTCTAACCTCTTTGTACACTGGCTCCTGGATCTCCAAGGAGTGTGTTGATTTAGCCTCTGCCGGAGGCCACCCAGTAGTAGCTACAGAGAGATCTGCAGATTCCTCTACTTTGTTTGGGTTTTGGAGGTGCCCAGATGAGGCCCAGCTGTTAAGCAATGCAAGCTTCTGTGGGACCTTGGTCCTTTTTTTTTTTTTTTTTTATGTTCTGGGTCTTTCTGATTCAGCTGCAGTTTGTTAGGCAAGTTTAGTTTTTAAAGGACCAGGCCATTCATATGCAAAAGCTTCTGCGCACAGCTTGGAGGGGACAGAGCCCCAGGGCAAAGCAAACAGCAATGGCTTCCCATCAGCCCTTTCCTTAGAGGCCCCTGGGTCTCAGTGCCCCTTGGTAATTGCAGCAAGCACATCTGAGAAAAAGCTGCCCTAGAGTTCTGCCTGCTGCCAGACAGTCCAGTTTCTTCCCATATGAGTCTAGGTCCCCGGAGTCTCGCCCAGAACTGGAGTTCAGAGCAGTCGAGAGCTTGTGTCTTCCCTGTGGATTGAAAAAGCCAGCTTCGTACTCAGTTGCCAGCCCTCTCTGCACACATGCATATGCCTCTGTACCTCTGGACTTTACTTCTGTAGCTCCTCTGAGTCTCACTGTGCTTTTCTCTTCCCTTCTAGTTGTAGAATTTCCACTTAGCCAGCCTTTCTGTGGTTCTGGATGATGTCCGTTTTGTCTTTTAGTTGTAGTTTTGAAGTAGTTGTGCACTGAAGCAAGTTTAGGTGTTTACCTATGCTGCCGCCATCTTGGTTTCTTTCAAGCATGATTTTTTAGTCATATCTTAAAAAAAGAATTTGCGCTGCTACTTCATTCTTTTAATGATGATTAAAAAATAGTGGATCCCTGGCCTGGTAGCTTCGTCCTGTACACCAAAAAGATTGCAGGTTCAATTCCCAGTCAGGGCACATTGTGGGTTGGATCCCCATGCCATTCCAGTCCCCACCTCCACCACCCCCCCACCCCCCAGCCCAGTCAGACCACAGGAGGCAACCAATCAATGTTTCTCTCTTACATTGATGTTTCTTTCTTTCTTTGCTCCTCAAATCAATAAACATCCCCTCAGGTGAGAATTAAAAAAAGAGAAAAAAGCAAAACAATTGATTCTACATCTTTAGAAATTGCATAGTTTTATTTTAAGGTGATAGGGTGTGAGGTGTGACTGATCAGAAGTGTGTAATTTATTGTTTTCTAGGAGTTTCTTTTGAATTGTTTACATCGAGATCTGCAGGGTGGGATAAAGGATTTATCTAAAGAAGAAAGATTATGGGAAGTACAAAGAATTTTGACAGCCCTCAAAAGAAAACTGAGAGAAGCTAAAAGACAAGTGAGTAAATTTATTATTTTTGGTATGTTGTGTTTATAATAAAATATAAAAAGAATGTACTAGGATCTTTCATATACTCTTTTAAGTTATTTCTTTTAAAAATACAATATATACACATTTCTTGAAGCAAAGGTCCTGATGGAAAACTTATTTGTTTAGAAGTTCCCAGTTCTAACTTACTGATTCTTCAGATTGGTATTAGAGAAGTGTGTCATTTGAACAAATTATTTGACTAAGAGCTGTTTTGTCATTTCCTGGTTGGTTGTACCTGTAAAAGGAGCTCCCTAAGTATGAGAAGCAGTTGGAGAGTGATACTTCCACTGCGGCATCTGAGTCAGATCTTTGGAAACACACGGAGGTACTAAAGATCAGGAGGGATTTCCTTTATGAAGGAACAGGAAGAGTGGCATATGACTCCTGATAAGTGTGGGTGCATGAGTTAACAGCTCTAGTTGTAATCGGTCAAAACTAAGTAGGACCCCAATGTCATCTGCTGGTGAGTGTATAAACAAATTGGGGTACATTCACATCAATATTACTCAGCAAATTCCTGATACAAACAACAAAATAGAATTGTTAAAATCATTATGCTAAGTGAAAGAAGCCAGAGAAAACAGACTACTGATTGATTCAGTTTATACAAAACTCACGAAAAAGCTGAACTATAGCAATAGGAAGCAGATCAGTGATGCCAGGGACAACAGATGGTGGAAGAGCTCAAGGGCATTTTGTGTGGTGATAGAACTGTTCTATATTATGATTGTGGTGGTGGTGCCTTGGCTGTATACATTTGTTAAAACAAATTGAATTGTATGCTAAAATCCCCACCAAAAAAAGTACCACAGAAGACAATTTATGTGAAAGGGTTCCAGAAACGGTGAGCACACTAACCAGAATTGCACATTTTCACACTGTAGCTACAGGTTAAGATCCACATGTTATTTTCCAATTAACAATTCCTGTTAACAAATGTCCGTTTATCCAGATGGTTCCTCTGATGGTTAATGTTATTTTTTTTCAATTCTAGGAAATGAGAAGGAAACTTCTAGAATGGTAATGATGTGATTTGTTGAATATGTGTTACATATAGGCTGATAAGTTGTTTTTTTCATTTGTCCTTGACAGGAGTGTGAAACCAAGATTGCACAAGAGATAGCCAGTCTTTCAAAAGAGGATGTTTCCAAAGAAGAAATGAATGAAAATGAAGAAGTTATAAATATTCTCCTTGCTCAGGTAAGTTAAACTCTTTTTCTCTGTTCTGCAAGCTTCCTTTTAAAAAAAAAATTAAAATTGTATATATACGAAATAAGATGGTTATTACAGTCAGGTTAATTAATATTATCGCCTCCCATAGTAACTTCTTTGTGTGTGTGATGAGAGTACCTGAAATTTACTCTTAAGTACATTTTTAATATTCAACACAGTATTATCCTATACCAGGGACCCAGTACACACATCCTTGCTCCTTGAAAGGAACTGTGGGCTGCAAGGCTGCGGTGAGCACGGGGGCAGGTCTTGGCCCATCTCCTTGCGCGCGCCCCCCCCCCACCCCCCCCCCCCCGCCAGGCCCTTCCTCCCACGGCCTCCAGTCCTGTCTGCCAGCAGCCCTGTTTCCGCCACTACCACTACCACTACCACTACCGTGCTGACGGGGTCCGCCCTCCTTGCACCTGCTGATGGCACAGAGAGATTGGGGTCGGTACCAGCAGTGGGTGTGAGCAGGGCCGGCTCCATCAGTGCTGCCCCAATCGCCCCTCAGGAGCAGGGGGAGGGGGAGAAGCCCTCAGGGGCAATTGGGTCCAGTGCCACTGCTCCCACCTGCTGATGGAGCCTAGCGATCGGACCAGCACCAGGCACCATCAGCAGGTGCGAGTGGGGCCAGCATTGGGAGCAGGTGAGAGTGCCTGATAGGACTGCAACGCCTGGGAGCAAAGAATTCTCAGTGACCACCAGAGGCTCGCCCCAATGACAGCAACCAGTGCCCCGCCTTGGTCTGGAGCCCCTGTTCAACTGCCCTACCATCCCACTGCAGCCAATGCCTGCCATATTGCACGCTCTGCTGCCTGCTGCTGAAGCCCACATGTTGTGCGTACATCATAGCGACCAGTTCTGTTGGTCGGCCATTTGGTCTATTTGCATATTAGTGTTTTATATATTTTAGATAATAAAAGCCTAATATGCAAATCAATGCAACGGTGGAATGACCAGTGAAACAATTGGTCACTTTGATATGCACTGTCCACCAGGGGGCAGACGCTCAATGCAGGAGCTGCCATCAGCCCGCTAAGGCAGATGCCAGTAGGGTGCCCCCCTCCCCCCTCCCGCCTAATTGCCCCACTGGTCGCCCCACAGACCAGTCCTAATTGCTGGCCAGGCCTAGAGATCCTACTCATTCACAAATTTCGTGTACTGGGCCTGTGGTATAGATAATATTCCTCTGGGTATGTGTGTACACACACCACTTGATGCATTCATGTGTTGCTGATTGGGTTTTGTTTTTTTTTGTAGTTTGATTCTTGTGAATAATGCTGCAGTGAATATGGGAGTACATTTATCTCTTCAGTATCTTGTTTTCATTTCCTTTGGATGTATATTCAGAAATGGGATTACTGCAGAATGACTTCTATTTTTTAGTTTTTGAGGAACCTGTTTTTCATAATGGCTGTACCAATTTATATTCCCACCAACAGTGTACAAGGGCTCCTTTTCCCTGCGACCTACTTGTTCTGAGGCGATATTTCATTGTGGTTTTGATTAGCATCTCCCTGATGATGAGTGGCATTGAACACGTTTTCATAAATCTTAGCCATTTGTATATCTTTTGAGATGTTAGGGTTCTTTGCCTGCTTTTAATTGTTTTTTTCCTTACTATTGAGTTGTTTTGAGTTCCTTATGTATTTTGGGTATTAAATCCTATCTATCACATGTATGGTTTTCAAATACATTCTATTTATAGGCTGTCTCTTCATTCTGTTGGGAGGGGAAAAAAAGCTTTGCTATGCAGAAGCCTTTTATTTGATGCAATTCCATCTATTTTTGTTTGTTGCCTGTGTTTTTTGGGATCGTGTCTAAAAAAATTTAATTGTCCACACCAATGTCAAGGTACTCTCCCTATATTTTCTTTCAATAGTTTTATGGTTTCAGGTCTTACATTTAAATCTTTCATCCATTTTGAGTTGATTTTTTTTCCTAAAATTTGGAGATAAGGGTCTGATTTCGTTCTTTTGCATGAGGAAAACCATTTTGCCAATATAATTTTTTGAAAAGATTCTTTCCCCATTGGGTGTTCCTTGCACCTTAGTCAAAGATCAATTGACTATAAATGTGTGGATTTATTCCTGGGCTCTCTATTCTGCTCCATTAGTCTATATGTCTGGTTATATGCCAGTATCATACTGCTTTATTATAGCTATGTAGCCTATTTTGAAATTAGGTAGTGTGATGCCTCTAATTTTATTCATTTTGTTTAAAATTGCTTTGGCTTTTTGTGTTTCTGCATGAGTTTTAGAATTGTTTTTCTATTTCTGTGAAAAACACCATTGGAATTTTGATAGAGATTCATTGAATCTGTTGATTGCTTGCTTTGGGTAGTATGGACATTTCAACAATATTATTTCTTCTGCCCTAGCTGGTTTGGCTCAGGAGCTTCAGACAATGGACTGAAGGGTCCCAAGTTTGATTCTGGGTCAAGGGCACATGCCTGGGTTGTAGGCTCGATCCCCGGTAGGGGCATGCAGAAGGCAGCCAATCAATGATTCCCTTTCATCATTGATGTTTCTCTTTCCCTTTCTCTCTGAAATCAATAAAAAATATTTTAAAATTATATTTCTTCTGATCCAGGAACATGGGACATTTTTCCATTTATATCTTCAAATTCTTTTATCAATGTTTTATAGTTTTCAGTGTATCGATCTTTCACCTTTATGTTATATAAATTTATTCCAATTATCTTTTGATGCTATTGTAAATGGAATTGCTTTCTTAATGTATTTTTCAGATGGTCTGTTGTTAGTATATAGAAATGCAACTTGATATTGAATGTTGATTTTGTATCCTACAGCTTTACTGTTTATTAGCTCTAACAATTATTTGGTGGAATCTTTAAGGGTTTTCTTTATTTTTTTTAATACTTTCTTTAAAAAAAAAGTTTTTTTATTTGAGAGAGAGGAAGGGAGAGATAGAAATATCTATCATTGATCAACTGCCTCCTGCATGCCCCCTAATGGGATTGAGCCTACAACCAGGCATATGCCCTGTGAATTGAACCTGCAACCTCCTGGTGCATGGGATGACCCTCAACCATCTTAGCTACACCAGCCAGGCTGTAGTGTTTTCTAGATATAAGATCATGGTCATCTGCTTTTTTTAATTTTTATTTTTTTATTAAATTATTATCTGCGTACATATTTTAACAATGACCCCCCACCCCCGCTCTTATTTTTTTTATTTTCTTATCTAATCATTCTGGCTAGGACTTCTAGTTGAATTTTGTCAACTGTTTTATTGCATTGATTGAGATAGGTTTTTATTCATTATGTTGAGCTGTCCTCATATCCCAGAGATAAATTCCACTTAATCATGGCATCTTATCTTTCGTAGTGTTAGTATGTTGAGAATTTTTGCATGTGTTCAACAGGGATATTGGACTATAATTTCCTTTTCTTATAGTGTCCTCACCTGGCTCTTGGTATGAAGGTGATGTTGACCTTGTAAAATCAATCCGGGAGTGTTGCCTCCTCCTCAGTTTTCTGGAAGAGGGAGGAGGATTGACATTACTTCTTTAAATGCTTGGTAGAATTCACTATGAAGCCATTTCTTCTAAGTCTTTTTAGTTTATTGGGAGGTGTTTTTTTTTATTATGGATTTAATCCCCTTATTCATTATTGGTCTGTTCAGATTTTCTGTTTCTTCATGATTCAATTTTGGTAGATTTTATGTTTCAAGAACTTACCCATTTTTTCTAGGTTCTCCAATTTGTTGGTATATAAATGTTCATAGTAGTTTCTTAAAACCCTTTGTATTTCTGTGGTATCACTTATAATTTTATTCATCTGATACGTTTTAGTATGTTGTGTTTTCCATTTTAATTTGTCTCAAGATGCTATTTTGATTTCTTCTCTGACCCATTGGTTATTCAAGAGTGTATTGGTTATCTTATAAACTGAGCAGCTCATTTACAAAGGTGTAAGGTTTTTATTTAATATATTTTTATTGATTTGAGAGAGGAACGGAGAGGGAAAAAGAGATGGAAACATGAGAATCATTGATTGGCTGCCTCCTGCACGCCCCACAACCCAGGCACATGCCCTTGACTTCTAGAATTGAAACTGGGACCCTTCAGCCCACTAAGCAAAACCAGCCAGGCTGAATCCATCAGTTTTAGAAATCCATATTCTGTTACTTTGGGAGAATGGTTTATGGGGGGATGGTGGCTTGCAGTGAGATGTCTTCTGTGAACATCTTTCCTGCACAGGATCTGCTTTAAGGTGATGCTGGCACCAGCTGTACATCTGGGTTCTTCTCTTCGCAGTGACACTATTGGAGGCCGGCCATCTTGGGCCCCAGATACTCTCCCTTTATTGAGAAAGGACTGGGAAGCCAAAACTTGGAATTTCGGCTTTGTGCCCAGAGGGCAAGCCCCATAGGGACTCCTGAGTGGCGCTTTATGTGTTGAGAAAAATCTAGTCATTCCTTCTAAGTAACTTAATTTACCTTTTCTCAAAGGAGCCTTTTCTTGGCAATAAAGAAACAGGATCTTTTTTTTTTTTGGTTGTGCAGTACAACAAGCTTTCCCATTACTAGCGTGTTATGTGTATGCGGCTACAGAATTCGAGACAACATAGGAGACCCCAAAAGAGTGACATACCTTCCAGTCCTGCTCTCAAAGCGTTCACACTGATCATTATTTTAGGAGAATGAGATCCTGACTGAACAGGAGGAGCTTCTAGCCATGGAGCAGTTTCTCCGCCGACAGATTGCCTCCGAGAAAGAAGAGATCGAGCGCCTTAGAGCGGAGATTGCCGAAACTCAGAGGTAAAGGAGAGGCAAAGGATTAGAAATATCCCAGGTGTTTGCTTAAATGTAAGCCTAATGGTTTCAGCTCTGACTTCCATGTAAAAGAACTAGGCATGTAAAATTAATCATCCTAGGTTTCTTACTTATTAAATGTAAACAATGGTGTTGTATTAAGTAGACTTGTGAAAACCTGGTAAATCTAAAGGAGGAAGGTAACAGACAAGCATACTTTTCTCCAGTTACCTGTCACGTTCTTCTGCCTCTGTCACCATTTAGTCGCCAGCAGCACGGCCGGAGTGAGACGGAGGAGTATTCCTCCGAGAGTGAGAGTGAGAGTGAAGATGAAGAGGAGCTCCAGGTCATTTTGGAAGATTTACAGAGACAGAATGAAGAGCTGGAAGTGAGTTTAAAAAAAAAAAAGAAAAAAGAAAAAATCCCACTAACTTCTAGAAAGTTGTAGGAACTATGTATTTCTCAGAATTTTCCTTCTCCTTGGTAACCAGCTAGGGAGGCTGAGTAGAGAGGAGTTAGGTGGGTGTTGACTGCTGGCCAGGCAGGTGGCACAGGTGTGGCCCGGCCAGGCTGTCCCTGAGGTGCGGTGACTTCCTGACCGTAGAGACCTCTCCCACTTGCTAAAAGCCTCACCTGACAGTGCCAGTTTGAGCAGCCTGGTCTGTGTTCACAGAGAAGGTGAACAGAAAAAGAAAGGCTAATGTGAGAAGGAAAAACCTCCTGAATCTCCCTCTGGGAGACATGAATGACAGTTTTCTCTTGGAACTTTATCTGTAAAGCAGCCAGAGAGTAAACTCGGCACTAGGGAACTGGGAGACAACTGCTGCAAAACAACAACAGTAAATTATCTTGATCAGAATTTCCCCTTACCCCAAATAAAACATTGTCTCTAGGTGTTTAATCTAAAGGTTCCAAGAGGCCATTTTCTTCTCAGAAAGGAAATGTAAGAAAGTGATACAGCTTTGTTTTCCTCATTCAGGTGCACTCAGCTGCTGGGGCAAACCAGAACTTACCTACCTCATAGACAATTAGATGAATTCCATACAAATCCGCCACCCACAAAAGTCCTCTCCACAGAACTGGGGACAGAGTTCATAGAGGCTGCCCAGTGAGGCTCAAGGTCCAGACCCCCGCTATGTAGCCAGAGAAGCAGAGCAGTGGTTGAGTCCTAGGCCACCAGGTCGCTTCCATTCTTTAGACAGGTTTCAAGTTGGCACCTTATTTTGTTAACAATGTACAAATTATATTAAAAGTTATACAAATTATATTAAGTAGGGAGATATATTCTAGGATTATAACACTTGGGATACAAAGATAATACTCTCATGGTTTGAACAAGATAGTTAATATATTTCAGCAGACATCCAGAAACACTAGAAACTTATTAAATATTTTCTATTAGTACATTTGTCTTAAGATACTCTTTTTTTTTTTTTTTTTTTTTTTTTGTATTTTGGAATAGTGTTTATGGGCCTCAGTTGCTTATTCATGGTCATGTCTTTAACTTCACAACTAAATTTACTAAAACAAAAACAGCAAATCTGTTCTCTGCTTGGGAACCAGTCATTTTGAGAATGGTTCTTTTCTGTCATTCCTCAAGATAAAGAACAATCATTTGAACCAAGCAATCCATGAAGAGCGAGAGGCCATCATCGAACTGCGCGTGCAGCTCCGCCTGCTCCAGCTGCAGCGAGCCAAGTCTGAGCCACCGGCAGCGGAGGAAGAGGAGCCCGAGAGGCGTGGGGGTGCTGTCCCATCACCCAGAGACAGCGCCCCGGAGACAAAAGCAACTAAAGAGCAGCCAAAGGCAGGCAAGGAGCAGGCCAAGCCGTCCCCGAGCAGAGACAGGAAGGAGACGCCCATCTGAGTATCCTGAGGTCATGGAATCTCCAGACCTAACCAGACCTGTGCATCTTACTGTAATCCTGAGAGTCAGACTGGACAACTCTCTGCTGTACATTCTGTGTACATTCTGTAAAGATACCTTTTCTTCCCAGAGACTCTTCCTTCTTACACACACACACACACGAACTTCTCTGCGTCAGGCTCAGGTTATGGGAGGAGAACACAGTGGTCGCGCTGTAGGGTTATATAGGGGACAGATGAGTTTTCCAGATAGCTTATTTGAAGATTAATTTTCTTTGTTAACTTAAAATAACTATTTTAACCCTTGAGTGGCTTCTTTTTGAACCAAAAATCATCTTTGCTTTTTTATTACGGCAGAATCAGGATCTCTCGTTTAAGGGGAGGAACCAAACAAGGTAAATACTGTTCCTGCCTTGTGGCTCGCCCCAGTCTCACCCTCCAGGGTCACTGCTTACCTAGTCACTCTTGCTTGTGCCTTTTATACCTTTTTGGTGCAGATTATATCATGGGGAGCTGCCTCGTAATTCCTGACTGGCCAGAATGGCTCTTACTGGGGTTACACTCACTCTTGTCATCCTCTTTTGACAGTCCTAAAACACAGTCCTCGCGCCTGAGTCAGCAGGCTGGCGGCAGACAGAGCAGCTGGCCTGCCAGTCCTGGAGCAGCCTGGCTCAGCGTGAATGAGGGCGAGCCGGCTCCTCTAGGTCCTCATTGCTGTTGATGAGCAAATGCTCTTCGCTGGGTTGGTCTGAGGTAGCCACCTTGACCCAAGGAATCCACACAAAGGACCTGTTTCTCAAACCAGAAATCTTCTGTTACTGACCTTCCATTACAAACAGAATGACTTTGATTGCTTGCTTGGGCTAGAATGTAAATGTCTCTTTGCCTGAATAAGCCATATATATGCTGTTAAACAAAAGTTCTCAGTAATCCGAACTGCCGATGGACTCCCAATTGACGAGACTGAGCAATAGAAAAAACAACTTTTCCTTTTAATGATAGCTGTGATCCCCAACTCCATTTTCTTGCTTTTGCTACTTCACTGGTGACCTGAGGGCGCTCTCAGGCACCTTTGTTCAGTCATGCTTTGTTCCGCCCAGATCAACGCACCTAAGAGGGAGGTCAGCTCATAGCTGTGAAGACTCACAGCCAAAGTGATGGCAACCACCCCCCAGGAGGCTCGTCCTCTCCTCCTCCTAGTTAGTATTTATTTTCAGCACCTGTTCGATGCAGTTTTTAATCTTCTACCTATTGCACTGTTGTGACTTGTTGGCCATTATTTGATTTTTGTACGAAAAGAAAGCTTTGTTATAGAAATCAGCATACTATTTTTTTAAACCTGGAGAGAAGATACTATGGTGACTGAAAATATGATCAGGTGTCAAATATAAATGTATAAAAGCCTTCTTGCTGTCCTGTTGGTCATATGACATTCATTTTATATTTGCTGGCAATATTGGAGGTTTCTTTTTGTTTGTGTAAACTCTAATTTCTATCAAGGTATCATGGATTTTTTAAAGTTTAGTATTTCATTACAGTTGTGTTGATTAACTAATTTTTGCCAGGACCATTATTGATCAAGCAAATAAATTCAACAGCCATTTGAGAAAAAAATGCTTTTCATTTTTTGTATACATTTTTTCTTTGAAATAATCGAGTAGCTTATGGCTGTCAAAGAGTTGGTTTGATATTTAAGGTCCTAGAGTGAAGAAAAATGAAAAATGTTCTCACTCACATGTTCCTCACCCAGTCAGTTATTGGTCACAGATGGAAGCAGCTCTCTAATAAAGATAGCCAAAGGGAACAGTCGGGCAGCTGCATTCATCCCATGTGTGACCTTGTACCTGGCTGGCCCACGTTGAGTCGCAGCACCTGCAGGTGCTGCCATCACAGCTCCCAGGTGAGTGAGATGCACATTTGAGAGGCACCATTCTAAATGACCAGTATTATACTGTAGATATTTAACAGTCAAAACAAAACAAAACACACAGAAAAATCTCAGAATGACCACGGAAGATAAGTTAGGTGGCAGCCCTACAATGTGACACACACACACACACTACACTGTTTCTGTTCTCATTCTGTCTGAGCCCCTGAGAACTTCCTCGTGGACTCACCCCAGTACTCTGGCATCGTTAGTACTTACAGGACAGTTGCTGTGGCTTCTGGGTAACAGGAGTAAGCCAACCGAGTCCCTGGAAGAAGCCTCTCCCTTCCCTTCAGGTCTGCCTAGGAAATGTTCCCTACACAACTTCTTTCCTCTAACTTTAGTGCCCAAACTTGTACTTTCTCAGACTAACACTGAGGTACTGATAACAGAGCCATGGGGGGGAAGGGGGGTGTTGAAGCATGACGTCCCCCAAGGCTGCATTCATTCCATGAGAAAACTGCAAGCAGTTCTTCGAGACTCCTATCTGAAAACACTGCCCAATAGATGTTTTGTATATAATTAGTAACAGCCATGGTGTCTTTAACAGTAAACACAGCTGATCAGAGGAACAAGACACTGTCTTATCCATAGCAATCAGACAAAAAAAAGCCATCCAAATTGGAAATGAAGAAAGAAAACTCACTATTTGCAGATTACATGATTCTACATACAGAAAACCCTACACCAAAGACTTAAAAACAATTAACAGCAGTCTTAGGATACAAAAAAAATCAATATAGGGTTTGTGTTCCTATATACTATCAATGAAACATCAGAAAGAAAAATGAAAACAATCCCATTTAGAATTACATAAAAAATGACAGAATACCTAGAATAAACTGAAGGCGAGACCTACCTGTATACTGAAAACTTAGATGATGTTGAAAGAAATTGACACAAGGAAATGTAAAGATGTTCTGTGTTCATGGTTGGTATTGTTGAATGGCCTTATTACATAAATTATATAAATTTAATGCAATCCCAATCAATATGGCATTTTTCACAGAAATAGAACAAAAAAAAAATCTTCAAATTTCTATGGAATCTCAAATAGCCCTGAATAACCAAAGCAACAATGAAGAAAAAAAGCAAAGCTAGAGGTTATCTCAATCCCTGGCTTCAAACTGTTTTATAAAGCTACAGTGATAAAAACAGTATGGTTTTGGCAATAAAAGACACCAATAAGAACAGAATTGCCCAGAAGCCTATAACACATACTATGATATGCCAACTAGTTTTCAACAAAGGAGCCAAAAAAACACTGGTAAAAAAGTTTCTTCAATGAATGGTGTTGGGAAAACTAGAAAGTCACATGGAAAAGAAAATTAGCTGCTAGTACTGTGCACAAAAATTAATAAAGACTTGGAACAGAAGACCTGAAACAAAACACAGAAGAATACATAGGCACTAAACCCGAGGGGTTTTTGTAAATTCCAAAGGCAAGGAAAGTAAAAGCAAAATTAAATAAATAGGACTACATCAAACTAACATACTTCCAATATGGGGCGAATATCCTAAATACATAAAGTACAACAAACCAACTGTGGCTTGGTTGGAGTGTCCAATTAAAAATATGAGCAGAGGGTTTGAATTAGACATTTTCCCTAGGACATGGAAAGAAGCCCATCATTAATCAAAAGAAATAAAAATAAAAATCACAATGAGATATTACATCTGTTAGAATGGCTATTACCAATAAGACCAACAGTAAGAACTAAGGAAATAAGGAAAAGGGAATCTTCATACACTGCTGGTAGGGATGTAAATTGGTGCAGTCACTATAGAAAACAGTATGGAGCTTCCACAAAAATTAAAAATGTAAGCTACCGCCTTGGCAGTGTGGCTCAGTTGGTTGGGCATCATCCAGTGAATGCGAAGTTTGTCAATTTGATTCCTGGTCAGGGCACTTGTCTGGATTGTCTGGGTTGTGGGCTAGATCCCTGGTAGGGGGTGTGCATGAGGCAGCTAAGCAACGTTTCACTCTCACATGGATGTTTTGCTCTCCCTCTCTAAAAATCAATTTTTAAAAATGTTTTTAAAAAGTATATACATGTGTGTATATCACATACATATTCATATACTACTTTATGACCTGTAATTCCTCTTCCTGGTTATCTACCCAAAATAATTGAAAATACTTATAGAGATGTATGTACCCCTATATTCATTGCAGCAATATTCACAATAGCCAAGACATGCAAACAATCTGTGTCTGACAGATGACTGAACAAAGATGTGGCACCATATATACAACGGAATACTACTCAGCCATAAAAAAGGTAAAATATTGCCAATTGGGACAACATGGATTGATCTTCAGAGTATCATGCTAAGTGAAAATAACTCCAAAAGGACAGTTGTAGAATTTCACTCGTGGGATAAATAAAAAAATAAAACCACAAAAAACAACAAATAAAAACTCATAGATTCAACCGAATGGCAGAGGGGTGGAGGAAGGATGATAAGGTTAAATAAGATCAAATAGTGATGAAGAGAGACTTAACTTGGGATGGTGAGCACACAATAGTCAGATGGCATAACGTTCTACAGTACCTAAAACAATGTTAACGAACTTTACCCCAATCAAAAAAACAACAAAAAGACACCTAATCAGTATGAAAGAGTCTTATGCTAAAATCATTTAAAATTACCAATAAAGGCTCCAAATAACAAATCTTGCCAAATTTAAATAAAACTTGACCTAAAAAAGAAGTAAATACAATAGTACTGTAAAATGTCACAGGATAAAATCTAATAACTGAATGGAGTATTTGTCAAGTTTTCAAGGAAAAGAATTCCTAAGGAAAATTATTTCTGTAAGATAAAACTAAAAATAATTTAATTTACTTCTCTCTAGAAAATGGATTCAGGAATTAAATTGGTTTAATGGGCCCTGACCAGTGATGTTCAGTTGGTTAGAGTGTCATTGGGGCATCTACCCTGGTTGTGAGTCCGATCGATGCCCTGTAGGGTTGCATATGGGAGGCAATCAATGTTTCTCTCCCTCTCCCTCCCTCTCTCTCAAATCTGTATCCTCCGGTGATGATTAAAAATAAAAATTGAAAATAAATAAATAAAAATAAAAATTGGCTTAATGGAGTTCAGAAAATTCCTTCATCAAAAACATGTTACTGTTGCAATTTTTTTTTTTTTTAAATCCTCACCCAAGGACATGCTTAGAGAGAGGAAGGGAAGGAAGGAGGAAAAAAAGGAGGAGGGGGGAGAGAGTTATCAATGTGAAAAACATTGATTGGTTGTTTTCTGTATATGCCCCAACTAGGGCTCGAACCTGAAACCCAGGTAGGTGCACTGTCCAACTGAGTAGTTAACTTTGTGGTACACAGGACGACACAACCCACTGAGCTTCTGTGGCTGGGCTGTTGGAATTTTTGTAAGGTTAAAATATTCCTACTCAAGAGATCACAAAACTACTGTCTGCGATTTTTGATGGAGGATCTGAAAGTTGGGTCTCCTTCCCCCTTCTCCCCTAAAATGCCAACTGGTTTTCTAGTGGGAAGGAAATACTATATGAACTTGTAGGCCCTACCATGGGGCCTGGCCACTCTCCATGTGGGTCCCCAGTGTGCCCATCCATGGGCTCTAGAGCAATGCGCATTTGGGTGCAATGAGCCCAGCCAGCCTTCCTCCCACGGGTGCCTCTCCTGTGGCCAACTCCTCCCGGGAGCCCTACAAGATGCTCTACATCCAGCATGAGTTTATAAAAGCTTCCGGCAGAAACTCAAAAACACAACAGAAACCAGAGTCTTGCTTACGATTATGTCCAGGCTCAACATCTTTTCCTCTGGTTTGAGTGAGAGGATTATTCATCTTAAAGAGGCCATTTGCTTGGCTGAGTTGGGTCCTTCTTTTCCTCCCTTTCGTTCACTGCTTCTCTGTCTCCTGGAATTTACAGAAATGTTACCACACACGGGAAAGATGATGTGTCCTGCAGCCACACACAGGGCTCTTTCCCGTACCGAGGTCCGTTTAAAGCCTTGCCACCCCCTTCTCGCAGCTCCTGCTTGCCCTGATGCATGTGGGCAACACTGCTCCCCAACGCCCCCCCAAATACACGACCACACATGCCTGTGGGTTCAAGCATTCCGTGTTCTCTGTAACGCCGACACTGGAGGGCGTGAGATTCTGGACGTTTCCTTTGGTATATTCAGCTTGCAGTGTGCAGGCAACTTCTCTTCCAGATAGAAAGTGGGACCTGGGCCAAGGAGTCTGAGAATGGTCAGTACCCACAGCGCACCCCCTGCCTGCCCAGCAGACTGAGACTCACCCAGAGCAGTGTTCCCTGACAACATGCTGGCAGCCTGGGCAGCCCTTTAACAGGGTGGCGCTCTCAGGAACTCAACGCTTGCCCGATTCAGTTAGAGGACTCTAAAAAATGACAGTTGGCCCGGCTATGGCCTCAGTGATTGAGCATCATTCCATGCACCAAGAGGTCATCGGTTTGATTCCGTCAGGACACGTGCCCAAGTTGGGCTCGATCCCTGGTGGGGGCATGCAGGATGTTGATGTTTATCTCTCTCCCTTTCTTCCCATCTTTTAAAATCACTAAAAATAACAACTCAACAGTGGTCTGGTTCACAGAAATATCCACACGATTTGGCAAAAAGGTGACCCTCGATTACTCCACTGGCAAAGAGGAAGTCTGCTGGTTAGGGGAGATACTCTGAGAGCTCACAGAACTTCTCCCAGACAGGAGGGCGGGCCGCAGACCTCCCCAGTGCGCCACGACCTAGGAGTCAGGCAGGGTGGAGAGGCAGGGCCTGTGTGGGCTCAGGAAAATGAGTTTACATCTTCACCTTGGTTATTATTCAAAATATCTTCTGAGACCAGAATATCTTCTGAGCTCAACCACCAGTGCTAGGTCCCTCCGAGGACAGAGTTATTGCCACTCGATTCATTTATCTATTGTAAAGTTAATAGTTTGTGAATTCTTCTGCAGTTTTGTTTTTGCTTCCGGGAAGATTTGAAAGAACTGCTGACTCATTAATGTTTTAGCTTTGCTTGCTTGCTTTTATAACTGCCCCTAGAAGCCATGGCAGATGCTGTGTGACGAAGATGCACAGCAGACGGGCTCCAGCGCCCTGACACCCGCAGGGATCGGCTGCTACTGCTCCTTACACACCTGATGACAGACAAGACACCCCTCGACCAGCCCCCGAGAGCACAGTGCTCAGACCTCTGCCACGGCCAAGCGTGGAACCCAGCACAGGGGGCATGAGCCGATTTCAAAGAAATTACTAAACTAGTTAAAAGACAAATTTTTAATCTAGTTTTCCCATTTTATACTAAATCATTAATACAGGTCACAAATTGCATTTATTCGCAGACATCTATAAAACAATCAAAACTGTATATATCTCTCTATACAGATCTTATTAATAAATTTTATTTGGACAAGAGAACTTGTGCCACAACAGTTCTAAACAGCATGATTAAAGACTGCAGCACTCCTAAGAGTGTCAGATATGTACAGATGGGAAGGAAAAGATGCACCTCAGGGCTGATCATGATCCAGTTAAAAACACCTGACCCACAGTATACGTGCTAATAAATGTCATTCAGGTCATGACCAGCATGAAAAAAAATTCAGGACATAGATAACTCAGCACACGTAAATGTGTACAGCAATATGCTGCATTTATGAGTTAAAATCAGTCTACTTTAGTGTTAGCATCAAGCCCTTATGAGAAATTAAAAAAACCTCCTTTCCCATTAACACAAGTCAAAAACTATTCACACTTAGGGCTGGACTGGGCGGCTAGCCACAGGCGCACAGGTCCTTGCCTGTGGGTAAAGTGAGGCTAATACTGAAGGTCTCTCTCGCGTCCTGGCTCACAGCCGCCGTCTGGCTATAATTCCATCTATCGGTCATTAAATAAACCAGGGGAAGAAACGCAGGTCTCTGGGAATCTTGTCCCTTCTGTAAGGAAAATGCTCTGCAATTCAAGTTTCACTCAGTCAGGAAGACAGAAGGATTTAAGGCTGCGGTGACAATTACAATCCTCTGAGAAATTATTTTCCCTTAAAGTCAAGATAAGAAATAGTGTTTACTGTACTTTCTCTTGACTCTTAAAATCCCTGGTGTCGGTGTAGGCAACTTGCATCTGCAATTAAGTCTGCAAGAGAGGAAGGTCTCTCTTCGTCCTCAAAGTGTCCCTCACATGTGTGTGGAGCACGTGTCGACCCTCGGCTTCCTAGGAAGCGGGGCAGACACCAAGGCTGAAGCTTTTAGTAGGTTGAGGAAGCTGTGCTCATCGCATCTTCAGAGATTTTGGTGCTGGCAGGGTGGATGCTTGCAAAGTACTTGACGTCACTGTCATGATCCATCTGAAGAGCCATGATGGTCTGCTCCACAGCTTCCTGGTGACAGCTGGCAGAGGTCAGGAAATAGTCTGGAAAAAAGAAGTGCAGATGATAAACAAAATCAGTCTAACTTTTAGTTTTGTTAAACACAAGTATACAAAGTACTTAGTCATTAGAAAACCGGATTTTTCTACAAGTATAAACACAAGCTATGTTGAATTATAAACAGTAATCCAAATTGATTTCTTATGTAAAAAAATCCCCAGGCGTAAGAGAATTATCAGCTATAACTTGACTAAATCTCACGTCCCATGATATTCAATGGCAGTGAGGCTAACAAATGTATTAAAACTTATTCGTGTTACAGCTATTCATTAGCTCAGTAAAAGGAACAGTTGCAAATACCAAACATACACTGAAAACCAGTCTTCTCTAGTTGTTTTAATTGCTATTTTAAAAAATTAAATGAATTCCAAAAGAGAAAAAAGCAATGTTAATTTACCCATATTCTTTGAAGTCTATTAAAAACATCTTTCTGTGATTCATTCATGAGTCCATGCATTCAAATGATATTTATGAGACATTATGGGGGTTGTAACAAATAAAACCACCTGAGAAGTTATAATCTGTATCAAAGCAAATAATATGGGGCATATGTCTTCTGCCCAAGAATGAAAATGAGGAAACACAAACGTGCCTCCTGGACCCCAAACAACCTAACAGATGTCAAGAGGGTGGGGGTGGGGCTCCAAGGGCAGTAATTTTCAGAGTCCTAAGTGAATGCGCAATATTCAAACTAGTAAGGTTTAAATTATGAAAAGTTCACTAGCAGGGCAATAATTAAAAGTCCCTTTCATCACTCTTAATCTTCTGTGTCCTTTCACAGAGGGAACCATTATGAACAACTTGCAGTACATTCTTCTATCAGATTATTTCTATAAATATATTATACTGTTCACGTAGTCTATAAATCTCCTCCCCGACACTGACACTTTTCCTGAGTCGTGTACCCACCTTTTTCTAGTAGTGTTTGTCTTAGTGTCTTTGCAAGGAGCACTCTAACGTTTGGAACCCTATCATTTGCTAAGGTTAGCAGATGTGGCATCAGAAGCACAGCAAACTGTTCCATGGGAAGGCAATCATCTTCAATGACAGTCTGGGGAAAGGAAGTAACTGCTTTAGATTTGCCAATTTAGTCTACGAAAGCCATTATACTAGCTAAGAAAAGTCTTTTAATAACAATATAATTGCTACAGATTTTAGTTACTGCTTTTTAAACCAATATTCCAGGCACTTGGGAATTCAAAACAAAACAACATAATTAAGCCCTCACCCACTGAAACAGTTTTTAAACTGCTCCACAGAGACTTGGAGGGTTCACGCTCACATTCATTCTCACACCTGTGCCCAGCTTCACGGACCCCAAATGCCCTCTTGGGGACTGCTTTATAAAGAGCTCAGTGGACTTTATAAATGATTGGTGAACCAGGCAGAAACCCAACTGAGGAATAGGGGATCCTATAAACAGCCTGGTAGCAAAGTTCTGTCCTTCAAGAATAAAGAGATTGCCGAAACTGGTTTGGCTCAGTGGATGGAGCGTCGGTCTGCGGACTGAAAGGTCCCGGGTTCGATTCAGGTCAAGGGCATGTACACTGGTTGCGGGCACATCTCTGGTAGGGGGTGTGCAGGAGGCAGCTGGTCGATGATTCTCTCTCATCGATGTTTCTAGCTATTTATCCCTCTCCCTCCTCTCTGTGGAAAACCAATAAAATGTATTTAAAAAAAAGAATAAAGAGGTTGCTGAGAGAGAGAAGAATAAAAGAATAAACCTGTTCTAGATAAAAAAAGTCACAGATGTTCGTCTTCGCTTACCTGGCAGACAAAGACAAAGGCTTGACGTCCAGACCACTTGGGACATCTGCCGAAGTTTTCCACCAGCTCGCGGATGAGGTCCGCGCCAAATGTCGGCGGCGTCGCCATGTGGAGCTTCTTCACCATCTCACTGACCTAGGGGCGTGAACATGTAGGAGTGAGAAATATCTTCGTTTTATGATCTTATTAAATACTTTGTTGACTTAAAAATGTAAAAATTTTAAAACATACCAACTTGTAGGAAATCCAACGAACGGAAGAAACTTTATCTGCACATAGATTCAGAGCAATGGGGCGTAAGTAGTCATAAACATCTCTGGCATTATATAATTCTAGAAGTAAGATCAGCTGTCTACAAAAATGAATTACAAAAATATAGTTAAAATTTTAAGATAAGACAAATGAAAACAGGTTGATCATCTAAATAATTTGTAATACTGGATATTATTTGTAGATGAACACAGGCAAAGACTAGTAATTAGCCTGGTCTCTCATGCAGAGAGCACCACCTCCTGTCTCTGTGTATCTGTGTCTGCAAAGCATCCCCCAGGATGTTCAACTGGAACACAAAACACATTTTTCTCATAGTAACTATTTAGAATGTGCTGAGAAACCTCCATCTATAACCAGTTACATAAATAAGAGTTCTAGCCCAGCTAGCGTGGCTCAGTGGTTATTCCCAGTCAGGGTATATGCCCGGATTGGGGCTTGATACCCAGTGTAGGATGTGCAGGAGACAACCAATCAATGATTCTCTCTCATTACTGATGTTTCTATCTACCCCTCTCTTCCTCCCTGAACAAAATAAAAATGTATTTTTAAAAAAAATTTTGTTTGTAAATAAATGAGTTCTAGCAGTGTACTTATTAAGTACAGCTTCTGAGGGAATGACACACTTACTAGGGATAACACAGCAAGTGGTCCTCTACCAACTTTCCCATTAAGTCTGCTGGGAACTAAAGACTAGCAGCACCCCCAGGCCAATTTGAATAGATGCAACAATGCTCATGAAGAAATAACTTGAATATGAATGAGAATTTTGCCTTTCAGATTTTATGTTTAAGATTACTTACATTTATAATAAGTAGGAAGTGAATTGTGGTCATGGTTTTGGTAACCAGATGTCAATCACGGTCCAAAAATATTAAATGGAAAATTCCAGGAATAAGGAAATCTTAAGTTTTAAATTGCACATCGTTCTGAGTAGAGTGATGAAATCTCGAGTCATCCTGTTTCTGCCTGCCTGGGGCTGAATCGTGCCTTTTTCAACATCTCCGCACTGTACACCCTACCCGCCTGTTGGTAACTTAGCAGCTGGTCTCACACTGCTTGATGTGGCATCACTGAGCTTGTTGTGTCTAAGGGACCCTAACTCTACTACTGGCCCAAAGCACCAGAGCAGTGATGCAGGCAAACCGGATATGCCAACGAGAAGCTGTTAAGTGCTTCCTATAAGTGAAAGAGTGGAAGTTCTTGATTTAATGAATTAAAAAAAAAAATTTGTATGCTGAGGTTAAGATCTACAATAAGAGCAAATCTGTGAATAAATTTTAAAAACATTATGCTGAGTGAAGAAGCCAGACACAAAAAGCCAAAAGTTATATAATCCTATTTAATAAAAGAATAATATGCAAATTGACCATCACTCCAACACACAAGATGGCCACCCCAAATGGACACAAGATGGCCACCACAAGATGGCCTGCAGAAGAGGGCAGTTGTGGGTGATCAGGCTAGCAGGAGAGGGCAGTTGGGAGGGACCAGGCCTGTTGGGGAGGACAGTTAGGAGTGACCAGGCTGGCAAGGGAGAGCAGTTGGGGGTTACTGGGCCAGCAGGGGAGGATAGGTAGGGGCGGCCAGGCCTGAAGGGGAGGGCAGTTAGGGGCAACCAGGTCGAGGGGAGGGTAGTTGGGGGTTACAGGGCCAGAAGGGGAGGGCAGTTGGGGTGACCAGGCCTGCTGTGGAGGACAGTTAGGAGTGACCAGGCCAGCAGGAGAAGGCAGTTAGGGGAAATTGGGCTGGCAGGGGAGCAGTTAGGCTTCAATCGGGTTGGCAGGGGAGTGGTTAGGCGGTGTTTAGGCTGGCAGGCAGAAGTGGTTAGGGGCAAACAGGCAGGCAGGCAGGTGAGCGGTTGGGAGCTACCATTTCCCCCCGAAAATAAAACATCCTTGGAAAATAAGACCTAGCACATGGAAAAATAAGACATCCCCTGAAAATAAGATCTAGCGCATCGTTGGGAGCAAAAATTAATATAAGACACTGTCTTATTTTCGGGGAAACAGGGTAGCAGTCCTGGATTGTGAGAGTGATGTCCGACTGGCCATTTAGGCCGGATCCTGGTGGCAGTCGGACATCCCTTGAGGGGGTCTCAGATTGGAGAGGGTGCAGGCTGGCTGAGGGGCACAATCCTTGCCCCATGTGCATGAATTTCATGCACCGGGCCTCTAATTCTATATATAAAATGCTCAGAACAGCAAATCCAGAGACTGGAAGATCATTGACTGCTAGAGGATGGCGGTGGAGAGAGGTGAATGAAATGGTCTAGAATTAGAGTGATAATGGCAGTATATACTGTGAACTACTATATGTCACCAATTGCAACTTTGGTTATGTGTATTTTACCACAATTAAAAAAAGAAAGAGAGGAGGGGGGGGGGAACGAACTAAAAATAAATGAATGCTAAGAAAATTCACTGCATTACAAGAAATGTTAAAGAGTAGGATACCAGACAGAAAACTGTATCTACACAAAGCAATGAACAAACCCAGAAAAGGTAAAGTAAATACACACCATTCCAAAACATAGTCTAATAAACTGCCAGAACTTACTCAGCCAGTTCAGCTCGAAAGCGCCAATTTCTACTGTTATCTGTCACCAAAAACTCCTGAAGTTGATAAAGATATTCTCTTCTTTTGTCAATATGAAGAAGCTGAAACAACAACAACAAATTCACTAGGACAAAGCACAGACACACTTCTTTTACTAGAGTGCTTGAAATAACTATAAAAGATATGGTTAATTCTCTTACAGGAGAGTACATTCAGCAGATACATTTGATGGTCTTAAAAATAGGTAATAGGTTCTTTTCCCTGATAATCCCATTTACTATTACCTTTGTCATTATCCTCTTTTCAAATATTTGTTTCTTGAGTCAGCAAGTGACTTCCACTGAACTCTACAGTACCACAGCGTAGCTTCATTAGAGCACACCTACTTTATACACAACACCCTCACTCTCCCGAACTCTTTAAGACCGAAATTATGTTCTTATATTCATACTAGATGCCCCTTGTAGGACGATTCCTGCTGTGGTCTCCGCTGCCCCGCCTGCTTCCCTTCCTCCTCCGCAGACCCGCTTGCTTGCTTTTCCAGTTTCACTCCTTTCTGCAGTGCTTGGCTTCTTTCTACGCTGTCTTCACTCAGGCCTGGATATGCAAATTAGCCGCTATCTTGGTTGGGTTAATTTGCACACTCACCCTGATTGGCTGGTGGGTGTGGCTTGTGGGTGTAGCAAAGGTATGGTCCATTTGCATGTTTCTCTTTTATTAAAGAGGATATACACTGAGTGGCCTGATTATTATGATGTCTGAATGCATAATAATCTGGCCACTCAGTGTATATCCTATATAATAAAAGGCTATTATGCAAATTGTCCCCTTGACCAGGAGTTCGACCAGCAGGCAGGCTGTTTTAACTACTCATGTCCCCTCCCCCTGGCCAGGCTGGCTGGACCCCACCCATGCATGAATTCATACACTGGGCCTCTAACACACACACACACACACACACACACACACACACAGAGTGGCCAGATTATTATGCATTCAGAGATCATAATAATCTGGCCACTCAGTGTATATGCCCAGCAGATGGCACTATGATGGCACATAATAGGTGTTCAATAAATAGGTGGTGGCAAAAGTAAGTGTTCATATAGGAAAAAATATAATAAAAATATATATACAATAAAAAAATTTAATCTATATAATAAAAACTTAATATGCAAATCGGCAGAATGGCCAGTTGCTATGACGCACACTGACCACCAGGGGACAGATGCTCAAGTCAGACAAGCCAAGGTGGGTGCCAGCAGGAGGCGGCCATTGGTGGTAGCAGTGGGGAGCAGGGCTGGTGCCAGGCTGGCCAAGGTGGGTTCCAGTGGGGGGGCCCCCAATTGCCTGGCTGGTCACCCCATTGATTGCCCTACACACTGCCCTGATCGCCAGCCAGGCCTATGGATCCTACCCGTACACAAATTTTGTGCACTGGGCATCTAGTATAAGGATAAACTGTTTTGTATACTTATAACTGTAAACTTACTTTTGCCCCACCCTATCCCAAATAGTTGCTCTACAAATATTTAAAAGTAGGTTTATAGTCAGCATGGGCGAAACACTAAAATTTTATATAAATAAAAGCAAACCTAACTGTATATAAACAGATAAGAATCATAGAGTGAACTTAGTACTCTGATCATACATCTTCATGGGACATGTTCTAAGGATAAAAAGTGCTAAAGGAAGTCTTGAACATGACTTAGTTGATTTCATGTGCAATTATTACTGGTGGAATAATTCTGAAACTATTTCATGTATGTAGTGGAACTGAAAAAAATGACTATATTCATGTTATTAACAAAAGTTTTTAATTTGACAAAAGAAAAAATATAAAGTGAAAAAAGTTATTAGACTAGAAGTAGAGATAACAGTATCAAATCAGTCAAATTCAACATTCAAAACAATTGACAAAAATGGATTATGTTACCTAAATAAAGTAATTCTAGAAATCACACAAGTACTAAAAATATTTCCACAAAGGGGAAGGAAAAAAATGGTTATCTTTACATGAGAAAGGCAAGTAATAAATGTAGAAGGAATTATAAAAACAGAAATAGGTATTTTACAGCCAACACAGTACCAACTGATTCAGGCAAGAACCTCATTTAGATGCATGGATGCAAAAAGCACTGGGTGAAAGACTTGGGGGAAAAGACGTTCAAAGTTTGAAAGATCACCTCATCAAAAAGTTTCTCATCACAAAGGTGAAAGTCATTTTACAATGGAGGAAGTGAGCCAAAACTGCCATAACCAAGTTGACGGGACTCAGTGTCACCAGTAATCACAAGAGCTAACATCATACCAAGCCTGATGTGATGCATTCAGAAAACACCTGCTGACCTACATAGAGGAGCAATATTCCTGCAGAGGAAACCTGTTTAACCTGAATCTAATTGTGTAAAAGCAATCAGATTGGCCTCTTCAAAAATGCCGATTTCATTAAAAACAAAAAGTCAGGGAAACTATTCTAGATTTCAGGGGACTAAATGATATTTAAATTCAATATGCAATTCCTAATTTGATTCTGAAGTGAGGAAAAAATAGCCATGAAAGACATTAATTGGGACAATTAGAAAAATTTCAGTATAATCTGTATAAACTACAACATGGTATCAATGTTTTATAAAAAGTAGAATTACAAGGTAATTCCTCAAACCTTAGAACTACAAGAAAACCATATACAGAACAGACTGTTAGTTGCCAAAGGGGAGGGAGGTTGGAGGGCTGACTGGGTGAAAAAAGTGAAGGGATTAAGAAGTACAAATTTATAGTTACAAACAGTCATGGGATATAAAGTACAGCATAGTGTATACAGTCGATAATACTGTAAATAATCATGTATGGCAGCGATTTTCAACTCTTTTCATCTCATCGCACACACAAATTAATTACTACAATTCTGCAGCACATTAAAAAATAGATTTTGTGCCAATCTGACAAAAAAAAGAGTATAATTTTGATTCATTCACACTGTATGACTATTGTTGTGTTGGCTACTCCATTTTTTTATTTGACAATCTAAGGGAAAAGAGATCAGTGCCACTGATTTAATAGTCAGGTATTTGCATGTTTTAAAATTTCTTTGTGGCACACGGGTTGAAAATTGCTGCTTATGTGGCCAGGTGGGTAATGGAAATATTGAGGTAACACTTTATGAAGTATCTGATTGTCTAACCACTATGCTGTATACCTGAGACTAATAAAATTTATATTGAATATAAACTGTAGTAGAAAAATTAAAAAACAAAAAACAAAACAAAACAAAAACAAAACTATGAGAGTGCCAATTTCAAGGCTAACTTCTAACAACAGTATGCCAGTATGAAAAGTCAGGGCTGTTCACCTCAGACACCAAAGATCCCACATCAAAGGAGTGGGGACTAAGGTTAAATTCTTCTGAAATACCCATAAAGCCTCTACACCTAATGTTAATAAAAACCTTTTACTACAGATTTAAATAATTTTGAAAAAGTACAAATATTTATAAACATGTTCTAACATCTTTAAAAAAAATGAAGTTTAGTGTATTTATTTAAAATGGATTTTTAGAGACAGGAATTTGGAAGGGGGGGAGAAAAGAGGGGAAGAAACATTGATATGACAGAGAAGCATCAATTGGATGTCTCTGCACATGCCCTGACCTGGCGGCCGAACCCATAACCCAAGAATGTGCTCTGACTGGGAACTGACTTCACCACCCACTGGTTTATGGGACGACACTCCAACCAACTGAGCCACAATGGCCAGGGCAGCACAATTTTTTTTTTTTTTAATTAAAAATTAAAATGACACCAGAAAAAATGATTAGAATGGGACTTTTTTTTTTTTTTTTTTTTTTTTTTTTTTTTTTTTTTTTAAGTCACAGCTCACTATCAACTCCTAGATGCATTTTCTTCTAAAGAACATACAGAAATTGATCTTGGTAGTAGCAGGACATTAAAATTTTAGATCTACAGTGGAATTTTAGTGTGTTTTTATGCAAAAGAATTTAAAGTTACCTTCAAAAAATCATGCAAGTGTTTAAGGACACCTATCCTTACTTCATCGAGGTCTTTTAAAAATCCATTAAAAATTGGAACCAGATCTATAGCTGTCAACTGATCTCCAAGAATAACTGCAAGCTCATGGATGGAGAAGGCTAAAGTTCTTCGAACTTTCCACTACAAGAAATAAAAATAATTGCATTAGTAAGCTAAACACAAAGTACTTAGTACTTTAACTTTTAGACAATACGGTAGTTCCACCTTATTGGCAGTTTTGCTTTCTGGGTTCTCAATTCCTCTGGAGAACTGTGGCAGAGGAACTTAAGTCAACAAAGCCTAAGAGCCACAAAAAGTCACAGATATCTAGACCAATTACCAAGGGTCAACGTTTCACACTTCGTGTTCTTTCAAAGGGTGTGGTGGTGTGTGGTACAGAGAAGAGCATGCCCACACATATTGTTAACCTTCTCCTGCCTGTACAGTGACACTCACAGCACTCCACAGTGTCAATAATACTACAGTTCTATCAAGGTTTTTAAATAGTGAAGCATTTATAACATTGCTTCTATGGAGAAAACAAGATCCTATATTTTTAAGAATTAATCTACACAAATTTTAGACAATAACACATTTATAAATTAGGAACTTAGACATGTCAAATGTGATCATTTCTAAAACTTTAGATAAAAAAAAGAAGTTGCCAAATTGTGGAACTTGGATAATGTAATAAGAAAGGTCTTTGGTTCAAGCTCTTCTGCACATAATTTCCTATATACCAGTACCTGCTAGAACATGAACAGAAATTTTGTTGGGTTTTGAAGGGCAAAACACTGAACCTTCTATATATATGCACATGCTGTTATTTCCTTGGATGTTTTACTCACCTGCATGTCTGATGCCAGAGTCTCGTAAGTCTCTCTTAGGCAGTGCCAGTTCTGCCTGCCAAGGGTCAGGGCCACGCCTGGAAGACTGTATGCACAGTGCTTAGCAATTTCAGTGTCGACTGTCTGTGCACGAGAGGGGTCAGTCATAGATAAATACTGATCTAACAGAGCCTGAGGCACAACGTCCTAATGAAGAGACAGGACAGGGATGCATTTTGAGCAGTTTAGATATAAATTAGGTGAACTTATTTTTAAATATATGAATTTAACATAGCATTTGAAATAGTAAAGAACAAAATCTGAAATTTTCAGTTATATACTAACTGTAAAGAAACATGCTGAGGGGAATGCATATACAAATAAAAGCAATTCTAGAGGAAAAACAATGAATAAGATTTAAAACAGAAAACAGCTTAAGGACAATTAGAATTGATTTCTAAATTTAAAAGAAGCATTAAAAATATGACCAGCACCTTTCAATGCTAGCAAAGATTATAAAGGCTGATGTAAACTAGTGAATGTGGTTACAGGTACTTTTATGCACTATTACCAACATGTGTTGTTTTTGTTTTTAACACCACCCACCACCTGCTTTGAGATAGAAATTTACCAATTATCTTTAAAAACTTAAAGTGTATATACAGCTAGCCATTTATATAAATGTGAGAAGAAGAAGAATGTATATAAAATCTTGGTTATGTATGTATAATATAGCTTTGGAAGGATATACAAAAGAATGGTGAAATTGGTTGGTTTGGGGGAAGCAAAATGGATGGTGTAGGACAGTCATCGGCAAACTCAGTCCACAGAGCCAAATATCAACAGTACAACGACTGAAATTTCTTTTGAGAGCCAAATTTTTTAAACTTAAACTTTTTCTAACGCCAATTCTTCAAAACAGACTCGTATTTTGTGGAAGAGCCACATTCAGGGGGCCAAAGAGCCGCATGTGGCTAGAGAGCCGCAGTTTGCCGACCATGGATGTAGGAGAAACACTGGGAAGGAAAAAAAATCACTGAATGCCTTTGTACCTTTAAAGTTTTGAACTATGTAAATTTATCTACTTTAAAAAAATAAACTAAAATTGCCGAAACCGGTTTGGCTCAGCGGTAAAGCGTCGGTCTGCGGACTGAAAGGTCCTGGGTTCAATTCTGGTCAAGGACATGTACATTGATTGTGGGCACATCCCCGGTAGGGGGTGTGCAGGAGGCAGCTGGTCGATCTTTCTCTCTCACTGATGTTTCTAGCTCTCTATCTCTCTCCCTTCCTCTCTGTAAAAAATCAATAAAACATATTTTAAAAAAATAAATAAAATAAAAAAAAGCTAAAATGGAAATAAATTAAAAGAATGAGACAATCTGCATGTATTGACTTGAAATTATCTCCAATATATGTGGTAAAAGCATACCTCTATATAGAGGATCGTGTTGTTTGCAACAAGTGAGTTTGACTTTTTCCTTTCCTATTTGGATGCCTTTTGTTTCTTTATCTTGCCTTATTGCTCTGGCAGGGCTTCTAGAATTATGTTGAATAAGAGTAGTGAGAATGGACATCATTGTCTTATACCTGATCTTAGAGGAAAAGCTTTCAGTTTTTCCCCATTAAGATATTAGCTGAGGGTTTATCATATATGGCCTTCATTATATTGAGGTAGTTTCCTTTTATTCCTATTTTATTGAGTGTTTAATCATAATTGGATATTGTATTTTGTCAAATGCTTTTTCTGCACCTATTGATAAAGCCATATAATTTTTCTTTCTTTTGTTAATGTGGTGTATTACGTTGATTAATTTGTGTATGTTGAACCATCCTTGTGTCCTTAGAATAAATCCCACTTGATCATGACATATTATTTTTTTGATGTACTGTTGTGTTCTATTTGCTCGTATTTTGTTTAGGATTTCTGCATTTGTATTCATCAGAGATACTGGTCTGTAGTTTTCTCTTTCTGTGTTACCCTTGTTGGGTTTTGGTATCAGGATTATATTGGCCTCATAAAATGTGTTAGGAAGTATTGCCTCTTAATTTTTTGGAAGAGTCTGAGGAAGATAGGTTTTAAGTCTTCTTTGAATGGTAGAATTCACTGATGAAGCCATCTGATCCTAGACTTTGGTTTTTTGGGATGTTTTTGATGGTTGTTTCAATTTCCTTACTGCTGATCAGTTTATATAGAAGAAAATATTTTACCAAATTTACGAACCTTGGTCACAGAGAACATTTTATGAACTTGACCCCAAAGGCAAAGGAAGTAAAGGCAAAATAATGAATGGGACTATATCAAACTAAAAAGCTTCTGCACAGCAAAGAAACTGACAAAATAGAGAGGCAGGTAGGCAGACAGGAGATATTTGCAGACAGTAGCTCTGACAAAGGTTTAATTTCTAAAATATATAAATAACTCATAAAACTCAACAACAAACAAATCCAATCAAAAAATGGGCAGAGGACCTGAAAATACACCTCTGCCAAGAAGACATATGAACAGTCAATAAATAGAAGAAAAGATGTTCAAACTTATTAGCAACTAGAAATGCAAATCAAAACTAAAATGAGATACCACCTCACACCTATTACAATGGCTATTATTAACAAGATATGCAATAATAAATATGTATAGGAGAGGTTGTGGAAAAAGGGAAACCTCATTCACTGCTGGTAGGAATGGACTGATACATCTATTATAGAAAATAGTATGGAGGTTCTTAACAAAATTAAGAATAGAGCTACCTACCATACGACCCAGCAATCCCTTTCCTGGGTATATACCCATAAAACTTGAAAACATGTATTTGCAGAGATAAATGCACCCCTATGTTCACTGCAGCATGATTCAGTGGCGAAGACATTGAAACAAAGTGTCCTGCAATTGAGGACTGGACAAATGTGGTAATTACACAAAATGGAAGACTACTCAGCCATAACAAAGGATGAAATGCTGCCATTTGCCACAACATGGGTGGACCTTGAAAATATTATGCTAGTGAAATCAGTCAAATAAAGCTAAGAACCATATGATTTCACTCATATGTGGGACATAAAACTAAACTCATGAACACAAACCGTAGTGTGTGTTCTGCCAAAGGGAAGGGGATCCTAATACCGGAATATGGTGATAGGAGAAAATTTGACTTTGGGTGGTGGGTACCTGGTTCAATATACAGATCTTGTCACATAGAAATCCATACCTAAAACCTATATGATATTAACCAATGTCACCCCAACACATTTAATAAAAAAAGAAAAAAAAGAAAGCATGATGTATGAGTTTTAATTTTTAAAACAGATCAAATTCAGTGAGAAATAGCTTTAAAAGAGGAAGTAACAACAGTCACGCCAAAGAGAGCACTTTGTCACTTACCTGTACTTTAGGTCTCCTTTCCTCATCAGCGCTGAAACTACTACTAGTGCTCAAGTCTGAATCATTATGAATATAACGAAGGGTGGAGTCCATGTTCTGTTAGGAAAAAATATTTACTTAAAAAATTGAATTGTCTATAAGTTTCCTTCATCTAAACTATCTTACCTTTTGAGACTGTCAAAGATATAAATACATATAAGTTCTTCATGTTTTTAAGTTTATAAATATACATAAGGCTTCATTAAGAACTTCCCCTGCCTTAAATCAAACTTGAATAGGATGCTACATGTATGAAAAAGAATTTCATAATAAAAGTAATTAAATCTTTAGAATTAATTTTCAAATGTCTCAAATATTTAAAATTAGCTTGTTTATAAAATAGTACATAGAGGACTTGGGATGTCATATGAAGTTCTTCCAATTGTTTCTAGTCTTAACTATTTCTAATTTCACAAATATACTTTTTTAACAGTAAAAAAAACCCCTACACAAAACAATCTCAAAATAAAACAGTACACCTTCCAAAATGCAAAGATACCATAGTATTCAAATCTCCGATGATAACAGTGGTTGGGGATTTATTCCGAACCAAAGATATTATACAAAATTTCCAATACACTAAAGGTCATCAACCAAAAACCAAAACAGAAATCCACTAAAGTTTAAAAACCCTCTTGCTATCTCCACTGTGTGTACGTAGGTACTCTTTCCTGAGCTTTTCATCCAGCCCACTCTGTCTATGACCATTTGATTCTGGCATTCAGGGTTGTAGTTCTTCTCTGTTTGTAAAAACAAGGGATCAGAAATACTGATACCAAATGATGCTGGCTTGGCGGGATGTGGTAGGAAATTAGGAAGGATCATATAAAACAGCTCCAAGTATATAGCAAAAATGATGCTGGTAACAGTACCCACCCTCACTCTCCAGAGTCCAGATAATGCCACTGGCCCTCCGCAACATGGCCTCAAGTCCTGATCTTCTGCTCAGAATACTGTGTTGCTTGCTGCAGTGAAATGGTCCGATCAGAAACAAAGCACCTCTCCAAAAAGAAAAGGGAAGAGTTAATTATTCTTGATAAAGGGCTTTGTTTCCAGTAAGACTATTTCACTGCAGTAAGCTACATTAACATTGAAGCTACTACAATGGTCGTGTAGACAGGATTAGGATTTACTTTCTAAGCACTGAACATCACACCAGTCACAGAGAGAGGATGTGGTGACAATTACTTTTCCTTTATGTAAAGGTAGAGCTAAGAAAATCAGCAACAAACAGAATATACTAACTAGAAAGTGATTAGCTAAAACTATTCCCCAACGAAACACTTGTGATTCAAACTACTCTCACTTGATAAGCACTTTACTGAGTTTGTTACCTCGACAGCATCGCTGATTAAAGGCACGGAGGCATCGCGATTCATTTTACAGTTTGGCTGCTCACTGACACCCAGTTCATCTTGCACATCACTTTTCTTCTCTGGGTCGCTGGCCTCTTCGTGAGCATCCAGACTGGAAGCTCGCAGCGCGGCAGACAGCACGTCCACTTGTGCTACAGGCAGAATAGGGAAAGGATAATAAGTGGCAGAATTACAATGTGCTTCCAAGTGTTTTTCCATTTGCATTATGTAAATGTACACTTTTTGACACTGCCTCCAAAAAGCTGGGGGAAAAACCTCTACATGGTAAATCATTAGTCCTTCAAGAGAAAAAGTAGAAAACTAATATGCTTTCATGAGATTAAAAATGCTCATCCACTACTGTACATTATTCTGCGTTAGTATGAAAAGAGAAATGCTATCTAGTTTTGGAGGTAGCTCCAGTTTATTAAAAGGAGTCAATTTCAGTGTGAGTTAACTATGTTTGGGTAGTGCATGAATCGAACTTATAAGACTTACTTACTAAGCTATTTTAGCAGAAGAGCAGTCACTTTACAAACCCTGCCAATATAAAACAATTGCAATTACAAAGATTTTTATTGCAGTTACATTTAAACATCTCATGTCTTATTCCAGTTTATTTTTCTCTAGTTCTTTTTGAAAATGAAATCAATGACTTGTCCCAAACACAGAGATCCCAAATGAGCACTGTCTTGCTTACAACAAACCAAACTGACAACTTACCAAGTTCTTAAATCTGGCAAGTAGCACGAAGTTTTAAGTTACCCCTTTTTTTATGAAAGTGACTCAAAACTGAGATAAATCATTCTGCCTTCCCCACAAATGAGAAATTCGACCCAAAAAAAATGTTGCTTAGCATTAATTCAAGTAACAATCCACCTGGATACTCAAAAAATAAAATTTTAACTTCATTTCAGTAAAAAGATTAGAAAGTGTGCTCCTAAAGTAATTAGAATCCTTGTTTTATTACGATAACCTACTACTATACCGACACATTTGTAAAATTCTAGTCTAAGTATATTAGGTACCTGGCACTAGAGATACATGAAACCTACAGGATGAGGTTCTAGTTTATTAGGTAATTATTTATTAAATTAAGTAAAGGAAGGTGTTTAATCATAAAAAGTTACTCATGAAATACTCAGTCTGTTAAGAATTTCAGCTGCAATGTGTACTAATCCTTTTAACTACCCTTTTTGGAATCTTTTAAGTTTCCCAAACGAAATCAAAATGGGACTAAAAAAGACTTAACAAAATATAAAGGCTAAAATGTTCTGTGCCAGCCTGGCTAGTGTGGCTCAGTTGGTTAAGCGCCCTGCCATGCACCAGGAGGTTGCTGGTTCAATTCCTTGTCAAGGCACAAGCCAAGACGGTGAGCTGAATCCCCAGTAAGGGGCATGCAGGATGCAACAGATGGATGTATCTCTCTCCCTGATGTTTCTGTCTCGCTCTCCCTCTCCCACCCTCTCAGAAATTAATAAAAACATTTTAAAAAGTTTTGTGCCACATAAAATGCATGTGTGTGTGAGAGAGAGACAGAGAGGGAGAGGGAGAGAAAAGGAGAGGGGGAGAGAGGGAAAGGGAGAGAGATTGCTAATGCATTTTCATCCTGTTCCCTGGAATGAACTAATAAATCAGAGCCTTTCACAGAAAATGCTTTACACAGATTTACCTCTAAATGGACTACGTATTTCTTTGTCTATGTTAAGCTTCATCTTTAGGTTTGTACATTCATAAAAGTTTAAATAAATTACACTTTGAAGTTGTTTCTTCATAACTGATATAAAAATCATGAAGATATAGAGTAATACTGATTCTTTAGGAAATGTGATGCTTAAATTCTCCAGCAGAGAATGAAGTGGACTCTAAATCTTGGCTAATGCTCAAATTTTAGTAGGATACACCACCATGACAAATTTAATATATGGGTCTCCACCAAGATCTTGATTTTCTTACCGTCTAAATTGAGATCCCAGGGATCCGAGCTCATGTTAACTAGAGATTAGTGAAGAAGCACTGTCCACAGTAATGAATGCTCAGAAAAAGGGACCACTGGAAACTGAGCTTTTCTCCTTCCCCGAGGAAGCTGGCTCCGCTGAACTAGACCGTTATCATCACTAACTCTTCCACAAATTATACTGGAGGTTAGTCAAAATTTTTAACCAATTATTGATTTCAATCAGTGAACAATATAATTTTTTTCTGACCATGACTGCCCAAAGGGCCCAATTCTTTCATTGGGCCTAAAGTGGAAAGAAATCTGTATTTTGTGAGTTTGGGCCGTTTTTCCTTTTGTAGTCTATGAACCTAGCTGTTGTAAATCAAGCTGGCATCAACACTTTTATTTGGGCACTGCTGAAATTCAATCCTGAATCAGCTTGGCAATCCCAAATGTCCTGGACAAAAACAGAAAGACCTCAAATTCCCTGGGTAAGCATTTTGGAAAAGAGGATCTCTTACACCTTTTTCATATTTTACTACTTCCCTTCTGGCCTTTCATGTAGGATCTATTTCTGTTATAACTGAGAAAGGGCTTTCTTTTTCTGAAAAGGAATATCTCATTATAGTCCACGGAAACATTTAAAATGTTTGCACAAAAACTTACAAGAAAGTTAATAATCATCAATGCTTCAAGGAAGGTGAGTTAAATCGGGAAGCAAGGGCTGTTTAAAATTTTTGAAAACCTACATTTTGCTTTCCCCCCATCTTCCCTATGATATGCCCCATCAACAGTAATAAGGGAAAAGAACAATTGGCACAGAAGCTTATAAAGCTAAAGTTTAAACCCTGGTCAGAATTTAGTTTCCAATTTTGGCTTAAAATTTCTGTCCTTCCAAAAAGTAGACATTTTCTGACAATTTGCCATGATGGCAGATTAGAAAAAACATCCAAAACTAAGGTATACACCTTTTAAAAACTCAAAATATCTCCTAACATATAGAAAATTAAGGCATAGTAAATTTCCAACTAACTATGAAATTAACATGGATTAAAAATGGCCTCAGATTTCAATAAAATCAAATGCTTAAGAATTCTGTAGCCAAAGCAGAAAAGCCCCAGCACCGCGTAGCTGTTTTACGATAGATCACTTGACACAGGCAGTTAATGTATCGTCCCAACGTTCTGTACTCTCTGAGGCTGGGATTTTTGTCTGGTATGTTGCTGCTATATATTTAGTAATGAGGGGCATATCAGGAATATAGTACGTGCTCAATAAATAAAGATAAATAAAATAAATGGCTATGTTATGAAAGTCATCTTTTTTTTTTTTTAAAGGACATGATAAATTTAAAACTTTTTGTAATTGAATTTTTTTAAAAGCTATGTTTGAACTCATTTTTAGAAACAGAGGAAGGGAAAGTTATAGAAATATCGATGAGAAACTTCATCAATTGGCTACCTCCTGCATGACCCCTACTGGGGATTCAGCCTGCAACCCAGGCATGTGCCCTGACCAGGTGACTGGGAATAGATCTGGTGACCTCTTGGTTCATGGGTTGATGCTCAACTGCTAAGCCACACTGGTGGGGCAAGAACACGACAAATTTAAAACATAGCAGGTTTAAGAGATAAATCAGTAAGAGAACTGATTAAATCACAATATAGTATTTGTATTGAAATCTCTCAATTACAGCCTGCAAATTTACAATACAACTTTAAGCCAAACATGATAAGTGTTAGCCATCTTCTGAAATGCAGTCATATATTGAAGCTTATATGTACATGTAGTTCTTTTTAAAAAGCAAACTATGCATATCATTTTTAGCTTATTTGTTAAAAAAAATTAAAGTTGCTATTCAATATTTCAGTATTTGTTAAGTACCTACTGCGTGTCGGAAAACTAGAAGGTACTGTACAGTAAACACAGCGAGAATTCCCAGAACAGGCTCACAGCCTTTTTCCATAAAAATGGTGTGTAAGAAAAACAAAGTATGAAAGTTATTGAAGTTTGATCAACTGAATAAAACTTAAGTTGAAAAATGATAATAAAATTTATTTAAACAAAAAGCTGAAAGCTGTGAAGATAAACATTTATCAAGAGTGGACTATCCTCAGCTATGAGCATTCTTAGTTTCAGGTGTAATATTATACTCTGTGTCTCAATTTTCCTCATCTGGGGGTGGAAGAGATTAGAAAAATAGAGGAAGACTACAAAAACAAGATTTTGATGAATATTCTAATTTATCAAACAAAACTTGATGATGTAGTACTTGCTACATCATCAAGGTGTCATAAAATGCAGAATGCTGGTTCAACAGGGTAAATAAAATCACCAACAGAAGCCACAATTGAGGAATGAGCAATGAAAATGAAGCTGTAATCCTATATAATAAAAGGTTAATATGCAAATCGACCAAACGGCAGGACAACCTGTTGCTATAATGTGCACTGCCCACCAGGGGGCAGACGCTTAATGCAGGAGCTGCCCTCTGGTGGTCAGTGCGCTCCCATAGGGAAAGTGCCCCTCAGCCAGAAGCTACTGCTGCTGTACTAACAATGTCTGCAGGGAGCGGGATTAAGCCATCAGTTGGACATCCCCTGAGGGCTCCCGGACTATAAGAGGATGCAGGCCTGGCTGAGAGACTCCCCTTTAAGTGCACGAATTTCATGTACTGGGCCTCTAGTGTTTTCATAAAAAATAATCTACCAGGAGAGATAAAAAATAGGATATGTATGCTATTGAAAATATTCACTCCTTTGCTCTTGCTTTTGTTTCGGAATATAACAAAAAGGAATAAACTACTGATACATAAAACAAGGATAAATCTCAAACACATTATGTTGAGTGACAGACTAAAAAATATGTTACTGCTTGATTCTATGTAAGTGGCATTCTACAAAAGCAGGATCATAGGGACAGAAAAGCAGACCAGAGGTTGTCAGAAGCTGGGCATGTAAGAAAGGACTGATTATAAAGGACGAAGTTTCACCTGGTGATGAAACTGTTCTGTTATCTTGACTGAGGTGATGGTTACACACAACTGTGTTTGTCAAATCTCACAGAACTGTCCATTCAAGAGGCATATTTTACTGATATAAATTATGTCCCAATAAACCTAAAAAAGAATGAAACTGACCATTTTCCAACTAACTTTCAACAATCAAGGATATGGTTATGCCTTTATGCTTTGTGAATGCAAGGCATAAAGGCATATTATTCTCCTCCAAATGTTAAATTGTTTTCCTCCAAATATAAAATTATAATAGGAAATCATTTAAAAATCATTGGTAAATTAAAGCCAAATAGATACTAACTTGACATCCATACTGCAATTTTCAAAGTTTGAACACAACATTTTGTATGTTTTAGAAGGTTACTGAAAGTTATCACTTTATCTGTTTTAAAAATGGGTATTTACTAACATTGAGCAAAACAATAGTTTATAAATTTTAGGTTTTAGAACAAGGCCAAAAAAAATCCACAAAGAGATATAAGTCCTAAAGGCTTCTAATTATAGGATTTGTCAAAATTGTTTTTGTTTTACATAGCATCTCAGATTTCACTGAGTGAAGCTATGAGTCAGTAGGAAGCCTTCTTCTTCAAAGGGGCAGAAAGATAACATCTGCTCAGGTTCTGGCCTGATCACTTCCCAAGCCTCAGCAAGTAGAATAGGACTGCTTCAGCCGAAACCGGTTTGGCTCAGTAGATAGAGCGTCTGTCTGCGGACTGAAAGGTCCCAGGTTCGATTCCGGTCAAGGGCATGTACATTGGTTGCAGGCACATCCCCGGCGGCGGGCGTGCAGGAGGCAGCTGGTCGATATTTCTCTCATGGACATTTCTAGTTCTCTATCCCTCTTCCTTCCTCTCTGTGGAAAATCAATAAAATATATTAAAAAAAAGAAAAGAAAAGAAAAAAAAAAAGAACAGGACTGCTTCAGGACAGCTGGTTCCCATACACTGAGAACACACATTCCACTTATTAAGAGGCAACTTTTGATTTGAACATAGAACAACTTTATGGCTGCATTCACAAGGAAATAATATGTGATAAATGTGTAATCCAATGAAAAAAAGTCAAAACCGAGAAAGTAAGCTAATTGATTCTTATGGACAGACATCTACAGCTCTTAAAACAGATCATATTCCACAGAAAAATAGGTATTTTTGTCAGCTGTTACTAATGCATGATCCTTCCTTTAAAAACAGTGTCCTCTGCTATTACATAAAAAAGCTAATGAGACCCAGAGCAAAATAGTTAAGGCAGTACAATATTTAAAACTGTAAATGTAAAACACTGAATGACTGTGACAACTTTAGACATGAATCAACAATTATGTAAATACTAGTTAGGAACACAATGATGAGCTTATCTAAATAAAATTACCTAAAAATATCGTAGTTATCAAGATAAGACATGATGTCAATATCGAATTTTTAAGAAAGGCCCCCCCCCCCCCCCCACTCCCGGAATAAAAGGTAAGCAAACACTTTATACCAACTTTAGAATAAATAACGTGTTTAAGTCTTCCATACCTCTAACATCCGGATCATCAATATGAGGCTCTAGATTTTCTATCATTTCTTCAAGTTCCTTTCTGGTGGCCATAGTGATGTTTGAAGAACCTGGTATGGTTACTTCAGGTGTTTCTTCTGGTCTCTCTGGGTTGAGTTTATTCCCAGAGCCTTGCTCAAGCTCTATATCTAGATCTATTTCAGGAAGAGGAGTCCTCCAGAAATGGAAAGAGTTGTATAATTCCTGATCTAAGTGAGCAGAATCTTGTGAACCGGTGCCGACCTCTGGCCGTAATGTAGATTTGTAGTTACCAGGTTTTTTATCATTTTCATTACTAGCTGCTTCCTGATGAGAGTCTGAGGACAAAGTACAAAGTAAAGAACTGTCCATTGGAACACTTATTTCACCTGGAGGTTTCCTAGTTGTTTCAGTCTGATCTTCCATCGTGTTCTCCAGTTTGACACTGGAATTACTAATACTGGAATCTGAAGGAACATCCTCTGGCCTGATTTGTACATCTTCTGGGACTTCTTGATCTCTGATCCTTTTATTGTTTCATTTGGGGGGAAAAATGAAAATATAAAAATAATTACTGGAAAAAAAAAAGCCCACAATGATAGATACTACTTAAAGCATTTAAACAAGTTAAATATTATAAAGTACAGATTATCCATACATATTGAGTAATTTGCATAAATTACTGATAATGCTTCTTTTTCCATCAGTTAATCTGTGTTCAGAGAGGTAAATATCTGTTAAGCCTAATTTTAAATATTAAAGCATTAGATATTAGCTGGAGATGATAACATTTAAGAATCCTGGGATCCGCCAAAACCAGTTTGGCTCAGTGGATAGAGCATCAGTCTGCAGACTGAAAGGTCCCAGGTTTGATTCCAGTTTGGGGCATGTACATTGGTTGCAGGCACATTCCCGGCTGGGGGTGTGCAGGAGGCAGCTGGTCGATGTTTCTCTCTCATCGACATTTCTAGCTCTCTATTTCTCTCTTTTCCTCTATGTAAAAAATCAGTAAAATATATATATATTTTTAAAAAGAATCCTGGGATCCTACAATACCATGATAATTTCAATACTTTAAAAAAAATAGTAGGAATGTAAAGTGCATTTTAAGATAGACACATTTTTGTAGTTATCTGCTCCAATGATATAATGAGAAGCTGAGAATTAAAACCTATTTGCTGCCAAAACCAGTTTGGCTCAGCGGTAGAGCGTCGGCCTGTGGACTGAAAGGTCCCAGGTTCGATTCCGGTCAAGGGTATGTACCTTGGTTGCGGGCACATCCCTGGGGGGGAAGTGTGCAGGCAGCTGGTCGATGTCTCTCTCTCATCGATATTTCTAGCTCTCTATTTCTCTCTCTTCCTCTCTGTAAAAAAATCAATAAAATATATTAAAAAACAAAACACAAAAAACCTATTTGCTTACATCAGAAAGAAAAAGAAGGCCTGACCGGCGTTACTCAGTGGTTGAATGTTGACCTATGAACCAGGAGGTCATGGTTCAATTCCTGGGTTCAATCCCCAATGCCCGGGTTCAATCCCCAATGTCGGGCATTTAGGAGGCAGCTGATCAATGATTCTCTTTCATCATTGATGTTTCTATCACTCCCCCTCTCTTCCTCTCTAAAATCTATTTTAAAAATACTAACAATAAGTAAAAGAAAAAACCCCTCTACACATTACAAAAGACTTTACTACGTATCTCACAAAATATATAGAAATCCACTCAAATGTTCTAAGTTATTTTTATTTCTTCCAGCTCTTTTCATTTTCCAGTTTTACTCCCACAGAGTTTACCAAAATGGAGCCATGACTTAATTGATAAGGATAGATGGTATAAATTCAAGACCACCGATTATCATCATTCATTATGTAAACTAAAGCACTACACTACATTAATGTTTATCTCCTGCATTTTATTAGACTTGATTAAATTTACTAATATATATTGAGCACCTACTAGGAACCAGAAATGAAATGGATATTGAGGATTAATATGTGAAATATAGATCTTATTCACGAGATTACAATTAGAAGCAAATAGAAAAAAAGAACTTATAAGCAAATAGAAAAAAAGAACTTATAAGCAAATAGAAAAAAAGAACTTATAAGAACTTAAGCAAATAATTGTCAGGTAGAATGGTAAATATGTATATTAACATATTAAACACAGAAGATAGAAATGAGAGTTGAAATTAAAAGGCTTCAGAGGAAATGATATAAGTTGTGTTTAGAAGAATCTATAAATGTTTATGAGGCTAAGGGGAAGAAAATGTATGGAAAGAAGAAACAGCATATGAAAGTAAGGGTGATAAAGGTGGTATAACATGTTCAGAAAAGAGCAATGAGTTTATTATGGCTAAAATAAGGAAATGATAGATAACAAGAATGAAAAACTGCAAAATCACTGTATTCCATACTAAATACCTCCAGAATTTATCATAATGGGCTACAGGAAATAAGGTAGGAACTAAGAGACTTACATTTTTAAAAGACCATTCTGAAAGCAGTACAGAAAATTGGAGATGAAACAAGAGGCAGGAAACATAGAAGAGTAGGTGATAGACAGTGATGACTTTCTAAATGAAGGCACTCTCTTTGGGGCTACAGTAGAAGTAAACACATTCAATGATGACAAAACCAATAGGATTTGTTCATTTACCGCATGCTGGAGAAACAAAGAGAGAAATCTGTGAAGATATCCAGATTTCCGGCTACAACTGATTAGATACCAGTAGCACCAACTAAAAGTGGAAAATGCAAGAACAATTTAATGAGAAAGCTAGAGTTCCAGTTTGGATAGATTGAGTTAGGTATCTATGTCAAAGGTGGTGGTGATGTCCATGGGAAACTGGTCAGACACTGGAGACAGACTGAGAGGTCATCGAGTCAGAGGGACATGTGTAGAGCTTTGATGTGAGGCAAGAAATAAGAATGAAGGAAAACACAGCAGTCACATAGAATAACTCAGAGTAAAGGCATTTTTCTTGTATAAGGGATGGTAAAGATGAGTATATTTTTAGGCTTAACGAAAGGGTTTTAAGAGGTGAGGGAACTGTAGACACAGGAGACTGATGAAATAATAAAGCAGAAAGAATATGAACACAGATGGATAGATGAAAACTAAGAAACGTGAGAGAAGTAAGGATGGATATGTAGATTTGAAAGATGAGTATTATGTGGGGGGGAAGTGGGGAATTAAAGTCGCTCCCTTGAAACATTATGTGCCTTTAACATATACACAATGAAGGATATTAAACAGGAGGCTTGCCAGGATTATGCAAAAGTGGAAGGCAATGTTAACACATATGTAAATCCCATATCCATTAAATAGTCAACCATATACATTCTCATAAAAATATCAACTTTCCTCTGATTAGGATTTACTAATGGTGATGTTCAAATTATCATCAGATACACTTTAAAAAATTACATGATAATTATTTTTTTAAAGTTTTAAAATAGAGATAAAAATATTTAATAAGTCATCTGAAAATATGCCACACAGTGACATTTTTAAATTCTGATGTTTCCCTACCATTCTTTTTTTTTCTTTCTCCCTTCCACTCTTATAACTGTAAAATATATAGTATGCACACATAATATTCTGTTATAACTGTGAAAAGATTGAATTGCAAGTTCTAAGATACTTATCCCAGTATTGGCACTACATTAATCTAAAACTCCAAGCCTTTTAGGGACTCACATTCAACATGCACTCCTTATTCATAAAAATGAGGGACTGGCTTAGATGGCTTATAAGATCCTTTCCCTCTCTAAGCGTTCTTTTTTTTTTTTTTTTTTTTAATATTTTAAAAATATATTTTATTGATTTTTTACAGAGAGGAAGGGAGAGAGCTAGAGACCTAGAAACGTCGATGAGAGAGAAATCGACCAGCTACACATCCCCGTAGCCAATGTACATGCCCTTGACCAGAATCGAACCTGGGACTTTTCTGTCCGCAAACTGATGCTCTACCACTGAGCCAAACCAGTTTCGGCTCCCTCCCTAAGAGTTCTTAAAGCTAGTGCTATTATGCAAAAACAAATGTCTTCTATATGTGTATGAATTATGTAATATTTTCCAATTATGTTATTCTTATTAAAAGATTTTTTTTCTTTTGTTTTAAAGAACATTAATGGCCCACCAGTGTGGCTCACTGATTGAGTGTTGATCTATGAATTAGGAGGCCTTAGTTCGATTCCTGATCTGGGCACATGCGTGGGTTATGGGCTCAATCACCAGTTGGGGGTATGCAGGAGGCGGCTGATCAATGATTCTCTCTCATCATTGATGATTCTACCTTTCTTCTCCTTCTCCCTCCCCTCTCTGAAATCAATAAAAACATTAAAAAAAACAAAAACATTAGTGGAATAATTGATAAAATCTGAATAAAGTTTTTAAATGGTAGTGTTGTATCTGCATTAATTTCTTAATTTTGGTAATTGGACTGTGTGTTATATATTAATGTCTATGTTTTGAGAAAATACAGAGTGAAATATTTAAGAGAGTAAGAAAAGTAAAAAGGTTTTCACAAGTCTAAAACTTATTCTCAGAAAAAAGGAATAATAAAGCAAATATGGTAAAATGTTGACATTTGGAGAATCTGAGTAAAGAGTATATGGAATTCTCTATTATTTTTTTACAATTTTTCTGTATCATGCAAACTAAATTTTAAAAATCATAGTAACAGCTCTTCCGCCATGCTGCCTGCATGAGTGGGGGGGCCCATGCTAGCATGGAAAAGGCTCTTTTGTTTATTGCATCGGACTCGGCTCCCTGGTGGTCCTTGGGGATCATGAAGTCTGGGCGTAACATATGGGGGAATTCGTCCGGGATCCCTAGGGCCATGAGGAACCCGATCCGGAGAGTCTGACTGGCCGCGGTAGGTGTGTGCGCGCTCTGGAGGGACGTAAAACTCCTCATGGAATTGGTGCCCGAAAACGCCTGGTGGACGCACCATGAAGGCCACGGGCAGGAGGATCAGAAGACGTTCTGACCTCCCTGGAGGGCCCTAGAGGGACCCTCATGGGGAGAGGAATGAATCCTCTCCAGGACGAGGTGAGTGGCGTGAGCCGTTGCCTCACCTGCGGAAAGTGAGCCTTTCCCAGGTCTGAGTTTGGTATCTGTGGGCGACATGGCGCCCCAGGATGGAGCCCGTGAAGTGTGGCCGGCGTGGCGGTGCGGGGCCCCCTGGCGGCGTTGGGCCGGAGGGGGGGCTCCCGCGTGGCTCAGTCTGCGCGGTGGAGCGCGGCTGGGCAGTGGTGGCCTCGCTCGGGGAGCAGGCACCTGGGTTAATTTGCTGGCTGCCTGGAGAAGGGGAGGCGGAGCCGGGAAGCCGCTGGGGCGACCCGCGCTTTCTCCTTGGGGGCTGCCTGAGTAGCGTGGCTGGGACGGCCAAAGCAGCCTCGCTCTGGGGGCCTGGGCCCTGGGGGCCTGGGCTGGCGTGGAGGCCTCAGGTCTGTGGCAACATCCTATGGAAGAAGAGCTCAAGGGCGAATCTCTGTGCTCAGTAAAGAAAAAAGGCCA